GGGGTGAACTATCTCTTTAAACGTGCATGTTGTGTAGCAATAAGAATGTGTGTGCTTATTATTCATGCGTATAAATCCCAGAGGGTCTATCTGGAGAATGGTGAAACCTTTAACCCACCTCAGCCTATAGTGCGCCCCCTTAGGCAAGACTTAAGTATGCACTTTCAGCAAGATCAGCACTCAACCCACCGGCAGCGTGGGGGTTCTGACCTACGACCTGTTTGAGCGAAACAGAAATGACTACATTGAGACCCTGGCCATAATGTTTTCTGTCCCCTGGGACTACAATCTGTATAAGAATTGGTTTGCAGTAGGTATCTACCCGAAAGGAAAGGAGTGTGACCAGGCCCTTTATAAAGAAATGTACTATCAAAAAAAATCAACAGGGCTTTGTGAGGGAGGAGGCCAATGGGTCAGGCATTAACTTTGAGGGCAAATGCCTGGACATCAGGGCCACCATGTGTCCTTTGGGCAGGGCTATAATAAAACTGGAGGTGTGGGACAAGATGGTGTCTCCTATTAGTCAGCAAGTTTGCTAAACAATGTATAAGTCAGCCATTTTACTTAATCAAAATCATATAGTAACTTTTATTTTACACATCCTTATACGCCTGTGTTATCATTGATTTCATAAATGTTTGCATATACATTTACCAATTTAATAAATCTAGTACTATTTCTTTAATATCCCACACTTTAAACTGTTTGCTTTCTCTGTCAGAAGAATCCCTCAGATGTGTGTTTACAGTTTTCTTCTGCTTCCTGCAGGCTAAATCCGCTCTCATATCAGGCAGCCATAGTGTTGTTATTCAGTCAAACCATCTTCTGGGTATTTATTCTTCTCCCTCATCGGGGCAGAGATCCGTCTGAACAATACACACTGTCTGTACTGACTGCTGAGGTATTTTGAAATAAATATTTATTCTGCAATTTCGTAGTAATACCTTCGCCTTTTTACTGAGCCTGAAGGCTTGGTTCTGTATGTATTGGTGTATTCAAAATCTCAAATGAGAGCCGAGGCTGTTCGCCATAAAGCTGGAAACGGTCCTGTGTAAAAATTGTGTAATATGTATTCGGAAATTCCTTATGCCCGAAGAGGGCAACTGAACAATGGAATCCGAAAGACAGAGATGAAGATATAAAGAATGAATCACAGCATCAAAGAACTCAGAGCAGGCTTTACAACTTTAAACTGCTCTTGTCCAAAATAACTCCTTCAGATGATGTCTTTCCAGCTTACTCAATACTATAGAATTCACAATTTCACAATTCAGAAACATCAATGCCAATTTATCAGTAAAAAAAAAAGAAAGAGCTATAATTGGCAAACTAAAAGTTTGACAAGCAACCAACTATCACTACTTTACCAAAACTGAAGGGGACTGATATCTCTTTTAACGCACCAGCAATCCAGTCATTAAGGTCAAAGATCAACGTTTGTATAGAGCACGCCTCGAGAGACTGAAGCAATATTACCAATAAACATCAAAAATAAAAATAAGTCTGTTATTAGACCTTAATTCAATGGTTGAGAGCAGGAGTGAATTGTTTCTCGCTCCATTCTTCAAACTACAGCCCCATTATCGCCAAATAAGAGCACTGATGAAAGGTTTCTTTCTCTATGTGCTATGGTATTTATGGAAAGCCATACAATATAACAGGCTAAACATCTCTTTAACAGGATTGTTCCACAATTTAATGGACAGGTGGAGAACTGCTGTAAACAGATGGCAAGTGCTTTTCTGATGCTACTGTTGGTATACTAAGTCAGGTGTGTGGATTTCCCCCACACTTGAGCTTGAAACAGTATTCTTTTCTTTCCCTAGTGTATTTATTTTGCACTGCAAGGGAAATATTTCACATTTTGCTTATGCTGTTTTGTATTTGTGTCTTTGAGTGTGTGTATGCAAGGATGTCCATGCACACCACTGGGAAATGCCAATTAATATTGACACACACTTCAAATAAATAAGGTTTGAACCTGTATTTAATGCATGCTGTGCATTCTTAAAACACTGAATTAAAGTGAGATAGGACAAAGTAAGCTAATTTCAGAGTTCACAGATCTCCCAAAATAAGTCTAAATGCTGTGGCACAAGGTTTGGCTTGTTAGCGTCATGCCAATTATGCCGGTAAATAGATTTCCAAAAAAATCTTTTTGCAGTGATGGTCATTGAAAAATATATTCAAGAAAAATATGGACAAAAACAAGCAACACATAAGTTGGAAATATTTCATTATATTACAGCAGATATTTTGGAGGGTTCTTAAAAGTGTGAAATTGTGTGACCATGAACCAAAATTATTATTATTATTATATTTTTTTCTGTTTTTGATTTTCATTTGGAGGATTAACTGTTTATTCACTGGAGCTCTCAAAAGGAGAAGTGGTAATTTGTGAGAGGAGGATACACCCAGGAAGAAAAATCTCAGAGACATCTGAGCAGGATATAATATGTGGGATCTGCGAGAGTTCAAGCTAATATAAAGGGTTTCAGATCAGTATTAAGAAGTCCAGGTAACCTTATCCAATGTTACTGACATGCTATTTGATCGAATTTGAACCAGACACAAGGCTAAACACTGCAGGAGCTGTTATGAATAAAATGGATCAGCATTTACATTTATGCATTTGACAATTTTATCCAAGGTGAATTAAGGCCCGTTCACAACAAGACCATTACCTACATAACTATAACTGATACCATATTAGCATCCATTCAGATTGCACAATAATGTTCTGTTTTTTGTAGGGATGCACAATATATCAGCCACCATATCAGTATTGACCGATATATGTCCATTTATGTTATCGCTATTGGCTCGATAAGAAATTTGCCTGATATATTAAGGCTGATAAATAATGAATAATAATAATAATAATATAATAATCACATTTCACAAAAAGGAAATACAGTCAAGTGTAACATGTTGTGTCATATTAGGCTACATAAAACATGGAACATTATAATTGTGTGCATGGGACATGGCTTTTAATGATGAGACTTTTGTTTATGTAATCAGGCTCTCAAAAAATGTAGAAAATTTGGATTTTCATCAGCCAATATATCGATAATCGGCTTTCAAATACGAAAAATGATGTTTATTTGTAGCCAAAATGTTTATATCGGTGCATCACTATTTTATTGTAGTGCATGCTTGCAGCTCCACATCACCTGATGCTTTAAATGCATATCGTTCATCAGCTGGAAACAAATTCCTCTGTGCAGTTATGATTATAGCTGTGGGTTGGATTTCTGTATTCCCAAAGAATTAGAACGATTTTAGTTACCATCTTTGGTCAGAACAGGCCTTTACAGTGCATTCAGGATAAATATTTTATCCCTGGATTTAAACCTCCAAAAAAATCTCTCAGAAACTAATATACTTCAATTGTTTGAAAAGAATATCAATCTTTGTCTCAAATACAATGGTAGAGAGGTAATGCCCATTGCCCAAACCCACTTGATAGCTGTGATCGCAAGGATTTATCTGTGCATTTAATTTGAATTCTCTTCTACAACATTTTCTGCCAGCGATATCCTTAACTGACTTCAACAAGCCCAGTTTCAAAAGAAAAATCAATTTCATTCATTCTAAAGATAGATTTAAATTGGTAAATCACAATTCAAATTGGTTTACAACTGATATTTTGCTGTGTGAGAGTGCCACTGTGTGGAGGAGTGAGGTAATTCAGAGCTGTATGCAATTTACACACAATATATATTGGATTTTAGTTATGCTGATGAGTATAAGCTATTAAGAGACAAAAATAGGTTATATATTACTGTACTTCATAAAAATAAAAAGGAAAACAAAGCTTTCAGTCTAACATCCAACCATCCATCTCAGCCGAAAGGGAAGAGCAAAAGAGAAAAGACAGAGGATGTGTGTGTTTGTGTACTTGTGTTTGTTTCTTAAATTATAGTCCATATTTGAACTTTTCAGTGGTTCTTGAGCAGCAGGCCTGTTTTGATCTCAATGATGGCATTCAGATGTGCTGTAGGAGCGCTGTCAACCCCCACCAGCAGACGCCCACTCGGTTGTGTCCAGAACGACAGCATCTCCTACAAAAACAACCTGAAAATCAACAAATCCAGTGGAGTACCATCAAGAAATATGTGTGCTATACAATACAGTAAAAGAAATAATATGTTTCATAATAGTTCACACATGGTTCAAGCACTTATTAATGTTGATATTAATGTTGGCCTGTTGAATCCTTGAACACCAGACTTATTACTTGAAAATAAATCAAAGTTCCAAAAAAATATATAACATCCAAACATGGTGACAGAGAGGTATTTTCCAGACAATAAAAGACGGTATTTTCACAATGCCAATGCAAGATATTAAAACAATGCATTAAAATGAATTAAAAACACATAGTATTTAGTAAGTTGTAAACTACTTCCTCTCAGTCAATTTACGAAAGAAAAGCTTTACCTGAGCGCGAAGGTATTTTTTATTTTATTTTTTATTTTTTTATTGAATATGTATGTATCAAATAACAAGCAAGTACAGAGCACAAAAACACATAGAACTCCGACATGTTATATCAAGTATATAAAGCTTCACACATGAAAAGAAAAAAAAATAATAAAATAAATAAAATAAAAAATAAATAAAATAAAAGACATAGAGGAAACCTTATGCATCAGTGAAAATATCATCATAATATTTCAAGAATCTGTCACTTTTCTTGTTTTTAATCAATCTTAGAGACTTCAGAAATGTAGCCATTTCAATTAAGAAATGTGGAAAAGTAGGCTGCGATTTAGAGAATTTTTGCTTGTGAATAAAATTTTTCCCAAACAAAATAAAAAAAATTAACAATGTAACTAATTGAAGTACTAGCTTTATCTTCTTTATAGTAACAAAATATATCTTTTAATTGAAAGGATTTGGAAGAATCAAGGTGCTTGCCTGTGTGAAGATATAACCGAGCGCGAAGGTAACGTTTTCATGACCTCGGTCACTGACGTCATTTTCAAGCGCCGATTACATCACCCACAACCATGCCCACAACGCCTTTCAGTTACATTTGGCGAATTTTCCGTGATTAAACACAAATTGCAAACATGCAAAGGTTTGTCAGACCTCTTATGCTTCGTGGTTCTCAACAGATTATTTTACCTACAGCGGGTCAGCCTTGTACAAACAGCATATGTAAGTATTAATGAAACAGTTTCATAACTTTCCTTAGGACCCCAAATAAGGATCCCCAACCCCCAAATGTCATAGTTTTCAGAATTTAAACTTGGAAAATGGAAAGCAAAGCACAAGCTTTAGAGACAGACTGCAGGCTATGTTAACAATATATGCGTTTGTATGCCAAATGTATCAATATTTGGAAAATGTTTGGTGTTTATCACGTTTGATGTTTATTCTTGTAATGTTATTTGTTGTTATCTCTTATTTTTTTTAGTTTAAAGTGGTACTTACTTATCTTTGCATGTTTATGTGCTTTTCAGCTGCTGTTCCATGTGTAAGGGGATATAGTGTATTGCCTCCCACCAATGATGAAGAGGAAAAAGCCATGCTTCACAGGATGATGAGAGTGGACCATGCAGGAGAATATGGTGCCAACCGAATCTATGCTGGTCAGATGGCTGTTCTTGGCTGTACACAAACACGGCCACTCATTCAGGTATTATCCATAGACCAAAGTGGTGACGCTTTAGATTAAAGCCTGGAAAGTTCTGTGTAATTATAGCAATTTTACAGCGTAACCTTCGGTACATATAGTGTACCTATAACGCACTTACAATTTAAATAAAAGGGAACAATATTTTAAGTTTGCGGAATAAAGGGGTAGCAACCAGGAGAATAAAAAAAAAAATTTATTTATACTGTAAGAAGTTATATAACTAAGGGGTTCTTATTCTACCATTATGATATAACAATCTTTCACTCGGGAGCAATTTAGCAAGAACATACATGGTGTACCTTCTTAAAATAATGGTGTACCAGTACATACTGCATAAAAAATACTGGGTACATATTTATGCATTTATAAAGTAATTTTTTTAACAAAAGTGCACTGAAAATGAAAGTGCACTGAACTATTGCAACTTTTGCTTAAATAATGGGGAAAGATGTAGTGGTTCTTGTTAACCTCTTGTTCCATGTAGTTACAGGGAAAGTGTGACATTGCGGGCCGTAAATTAAAGTGGTGCTTGTTACCCTCTTGTTCCATGTATTTGCAATAAAAATGCATACACACAATTTTATATCACTCAGAAACCTTTATTTATTATAAAAGTACCACTTACCCTTTAACCACATGAAAAGAGATATATTTCCCAGTATTTAAAAAAAATTGCAATAGCTTTTCTTGCCTTGAAACATGTTAGCCCAAACTTAAACATCTGCACTTTTGCTTAAAAACATTTATAAACACATAGATATGTTCCCTGTAATTTAAAAAAAAAAGCCTATACACTATGTATTGGTACACAATTATTACAAAAAGGTATGCATTGTATGTTCTCACTAAATTGCTCCCAAATGTAATATCGTGTATTGTTGTATCATAATAGTAGAATAAGTACCCCTTAGTTCTATAATACTTACAGATTAATTATAATTTTTTTATTCCCCTGGATGTTAGCCCTTTATTCCCCAAATTTTACATATTGTTCCCTTATTCTTACATGAAAGTACTTTATAGGTACACTATAATTACCAAAAGTTACACTGTAAATTCCTCTTATTTCCGGCCTGTAATCTAAAGCATTACCACCAAAGCTGACAGTTATTACACAAATGTAACTTTTTTTTTTCTCTCTTGTGCATGTGGAAGGATTTTATTTATTTATTTATTTTTTTATTTTTTTAAGACCAACATTGAGGTCTAATGTATTATGGAATTATGCATTCAATGTGATTTTGAATGTCAACTTCTGGTGACATTTCAACTGCTGTTAAAGGAAATGTGGGATCAAGAGAAGAAGCACCTGAGTAAGTTTAATGAGATACTTGGAGACAACAGAGTGCGTCCGACCCTCCTGCTTCCTTTGTGGAATATAGCAGGATTTGCTCTTGGTGAGTGTGGCTGTTACATTATTTCTTCTCTGTTTTAGAAAATAATGTTTCTCAAAAATTCAGTCCAGGAAACTCGGTTATTTTAGACAATATGTTGGTGCAGACACAACTTTTTTTTTAATGTGCACAGGATACCCCCAAAACCTGGAAATATTGGGGTAGTGATTTTTAAAAATGTCTAGTATGCTATCACGGATAACTGGAAAAGTAGTCATGGAAAATCATTGGTCAAAAGAAGTGAAAACCCTTTTTGAACTAGAAAGAGTCTTCAATGTAAAATATAGCATTGGTGTGATGGTTTTGTTTTGTTTTTTGACAGGAGCTGGTTCTGCTCTCTTGGGAAAAGAAGGGGCGATGGCCTGCACTGTGGCTGTAGAAGAGAGTATCTCAGAGCACTATAACAGCCAGATCAGAACTCTTATGGAGAAAGATCCTGAGAAATACACAGAACTGCTGCAGGTGGGTCAAATCCTTAAGACATGGTGAGCTTCATACTTTATACACAAAGAAACTGTAGAATAGTGATGGCTCTTGCTTAAAATATGAATAAATATGATATGATACAATTAAATTGCTTCATTTGAATCACAAAAATATAATATTCACAATTTATGAATTATGACTCCCCCCCCCCCCTATGGTTTGCCACTCTTCTTCACCTGTTTTTCTATCCTACTGTCAAAGGGCTCCCGCTCACTGATAAAAAATTAAACGTTAAAAAAAATTAAAAAGTACATCCATTGTGATTTGATCTTGTCATGGTGTGTGTGTGTGGGTGTGCTGCCCAGAATTGATGTCAGGTGAGTGCAGAGAATTAATTTGCTCCTGATCTTCGAAGTACAACGGCACAGGCACTTGTTGGTGGAACAATAGTGGAAAAAGCGCCAAGGCACTTTGATTTCTTTTGGCCACTGATGATGGACTGTGCAGAGAAAATTGAAAATGACAATTAAAAACATGTCCATGTACAACATTTATTTTGAAAGTCGTAAAAAAGAGATTGGTGTTTAATATAAGTTCAGAGAGAGAGATTTTCATTTCCTTAAGTAGCTAGTGATGGGTGCCTATGGGGGCCATTTCAGTACAGTGAACTCAATGTCATGTGAACCAATTTGAAATGATTCAAGCTTTGTGACATGTTGCATTATCCTGCTGGAAGTAGCCATCAGAGGATTGGTACATGGTGGCCATAAAGGGATGGACATGGTCAGAAACAATGCTCAGGTCGGCCGTGGCATTTAAACGATGCCCAAAACATCCCCCACACCATTACACCACCACCACCAGCCTGCTCAGTGGTAACAAGGCATGATGGATCCATGTTCTCAGTCTGTTGTTTACTCCAAATTCTGACACTACCATCTGAATGTCTCAACAGAAATCGAGACTCATCAGACCAGGCAACATTGTTCAACATTGTCTTCATTTTGGTGAGCTCTTGCAGTTTGTAGCCTCTTTTTCCTATTTGTGGTGGAGATGAGTGGTACCCGGTGGGGTCTTCTGCTGTTGTAGCCCATCCGCCTCAAGGTTGTGCGTGTTGTGGCTTTACAAATGCTTTGCTGCATACCTTGGTTGTAACGAGTGGTTATTTCAGTCAAAGTTGCTCTTCTATGATCTTGAATCAGTCGGCCCATTCTCCTCTGACCTCTAGCATCAAGAAGGTATTTTCACCCACAGGACTGCCGCATACTGGATGTTTTTCCCTTTTTACACCATTCTTTGTAAACCCTAGAAATGGTTGTGCGTGAAAATCCCAGTAACTGAGCAGATTGTAAAACACTCAGACCAGCCTCTCTGGCACCAACAACCATGTCACGCTCAAAATTGCCTAAATCACCTTTCTTTGCCATTCTGCCATTCAGTTTAGAGTTCAGGAGATTGTCTTAACCAGGACCACACCAGACTAAAAAAACAAGTTCACATATTTCCAATATCTACTGTAATGTTGCCCCAGAAACCATGTGGAGTAGGATATGTTTTAATGCAAGAAGTAAACAGGGTCTTACCAGGAGAGGCCATCTCACGCAAGCTAAAGACAGACAACTAAAGAAAATGAAAAAAAATAATAATTTTAAAGTGAATAGAGAAGACTCGGGTCAGCTAACCTACACGTGGTTAGCTAAGTTTAAGCCAGATAGAACATAAACGTGACCGTCAAGAACTTTCTAAATAAATTATAGACCCGTCCATTGATGTATAGAAATGAATTGATATCTACCTACCTTAGCTCTATTGAGCTAATCGTTTAAAAATAATAAATGTTGCATCATTGCTGAACAACAATAACTTTAGCAGAATACTTAACAAACAAATGACAGAATCTATCATTTTTTTGTCAGATTTTCATTCTAACGATATTAATCTTGATTATACGATATTATTACTTTGTCTTCTGGGCAAGTTTTATCTTCATAAAGACAGGACCATTCAATGTAATCCTGATTTAAGAATATTTTCCTCTGATATGAAGTCCCCTTTTTCTTCTTTTAAGAAAATGTCAAAACCTTTAAGGTTTCTAAAACAAATAATATCTGTGAGTCTGTTGTAAAAAAACGTTCATTTTTTATATTGATAATGTAATATTGATTTATGTAGGCTAATTCAATTTCTTTTGATGTCCCCCTTGTTGTTTTTTTTCTCTTCTCATTGTTAATGTCTGTATTCTTTAATTTGCAATACAAAATTAATTAATTAAAAAAAATTATTTAACATACCTCAAATCGTGTCGCTGTACAGCCTCTATCCTCTGTTTAGTTGGGCTATCTTACAATCAATAGTAAATGTAAGGTGTCGCCGATGTAACGGTTAACTTCAAGTGGCGATGAGGTCATTTATGGAAATTAAAATTTATGGAAGGGGTGTTAAAAGGTCTTAAAAGGTATTACATTTAACTCCATGATCCCTGTTTATACCCTGTGACTGCAGTAATATGTTACTGTGATTTACTGTATTTTTTTAAATTTTTTATTGTCAGATGATTAAAGAATTTCGGGATGATGAAATGGAGCACCATGACACTGGACTTGAGCATGATGCTGAATCAGTAAGTCTGAATATGTAACATGATTTGTAGGGCTGGGCGATATGACGATTTTATCGTACATCAACGATGTCTTGGGGGTAAATGATATATTTCACATAGCCACATGCAATAGCATGAATTAAATATTTTTATAGGATAGTAGTTAGTAGGGTAAGGGTTTAAGCGCAAGAAGATGCCAAAGAGAACACAGACGCGTGTCAGATGGCTTAGGCTGAAACGCCTCTGTGTGGACATGGTATTAATAAAGATGTGTGATATAACTAGAGAGTGTGGTTTTTCATCTTTATAAAATATCCAGGTAAACACAGTTGGTTTTGTCTTATGTTCATGTAAACAATTGAGAAAGAAACACAGTACGGGTACCGGAGCCATGCATTGACAGCAGCCTAATAGCTAGGCTATATACTAGCCTCCACCATTAATGTTAATCAAAGAACAAAAGAAAAATAAAATCACTCACTGAACTTGTGTCTGTGTATGACAACTCGTGTGTCTGTGTATGCGACTATGTGTCGCATACACAGTGGAGATGTGTTTCCTCTCAAACATCATTAGGGGCCAAGTTCCTATTGTATCCATTAGTTTTCTTATTATTATTCCTCCCAAGTGGGAGTCTATTGCAGCATTAATGCAGCATAAATAGAAAAATGATTAAAAAAAATGTCACAATTGTATTCATGGTAATAAATAGTAACCTGACCAAATTTGGGGTCTCTTGGACCAACCCTATAGCTTTTCTCAAAAAGAAGCTCTGGGAGCATGAAAGGAGGCTTGATGACAGTGATGAGGAGAGAGGACCAGGCCTGGAACATTTTTGTTTTGGTTTTATTATGTTTTTTATGCTGCAGTCGACCATGAGGGGCTGCTGCTTTACTTCCGTTTTGTTTGTTGATTTTTGGATTAAAGTTTGTGAAACGTCCCGCCTCCTTCCCTTATCAACAAACCTTGCTACATTAACAAAATGAAATCTCAAAGTTCCATTTTTAAATTCAACTAACTGAATCTCAGGCTATCATTAGATAAAGTGCAGCCAAACTCAAAATGATCTGCATTCACGGTGTATGTCGGCAGTGTTGTCTCCGGCGGGGAAGGTGCAGGGCTTGAGTAGACAATATAATCGGATATTGTGATATTTTTTAAGGCGATTATCGATAAAATATTTTTTACATCGCCCAGCCCTAAATTTGTGACTGCATGAACTAGCATATTAAAATATAAAACCTCAATAACAAGAATGGTTTTAATAGTTATTTTTAGAGCCACGGATATGTTCATGCTCTGCCATTGCGTGCATTAGTTACACATTGTGCGTCTTTATTGCAGGTGCCTGGATATCAGCTGATGAAAGCGATCATACAGGCTGGCTGCAAAGCTGCAATTTATGTCTCACAACGAGTGTAAATAAAAAAAACAACTACATATTTTTGCAGTTTTAGTGACACTAGTGGTACTGGTGCATATTACGTACTTCATCAGTATGTATTTCCTGGTGCTACTCCTCACAATATAATATAAATGTTAATGTTTAATAACAATATAAATGTTTAAAATGTATTTATTTATTGTATTTTATACATGGCCTGTATTATTTTATCTTGCCCAGCAGGATATATTCAGAAATAACATACTGTAATGTTTTATCACTATTGTGTTGACATTAAAGTCATATGTCCTTACAGGTCGTGTGTGTTTGTACAGACCACTTGGAACACGAGAGGGCAGTCTTTGCCTTTTAAGTTAAAGGTAATTTGCAGCCACCAGTCATGACAGGGCAATCTGTAGCCCAACTGTTACAATTATTATTTTATGTGAGAAGACCACAGATATATAAACATATTTGGCATGCTATAAATATGCTCATCTGTTATATGTAGGGACTGACAGTGATGTATGCATATTAGGGTAAGTTATCACAAGGGTGGCTATGAAAACATGTAACATAATCTGTGGAGCAGAGATGCAGGAAACAGCTGTCTCCATCTCCCTGTGGTTCCCATGACATAATCTGTGAGGGCATGAAGTCTAGCCTGGACACTCCACAGAGGTTTTTTCACAATTGGTGAATTCAGTTTGAAGCTTTGATAAGAAGAGAACAGGCTATGAGAAGTGCACAAATTATACTCCTGGCCCCTTCCTCCTCTTCGTCTAGTCTTTTATGCTGACTGTACTGGATAAGAGTTCTTGAGAGGCCTGTTTAGTTTGGCAGATTCTGTTAGTGGGCAGAGCTACTGTATACTCACATTCAGAGAGGCGGCTGATGCAATCCCTGTGTAACTACAAGGACTCCTCAGCTACCAGTCTACCATCAACTGTGACCACTTGTAACCCTTAACAGGCTCAAAGTTTGAGGCTTTCAACTGCCCACCCACAGTCTGCCTCCTGTCCCATACTCTCCTTCTCTCCTACTTCAGAAGGTTTTTATATCTAAACATATCTTCCATATAAGCATTTTCATTGCTTAATGTAATGCAGAAGCAGAACGCCACGCAATCTTTTATTCTCGTAGTCTGTGTCAGAGGAAGCTGACCCATCTGGAAACACTGCATGAGTCTCATTGTGAACAGATCACATGTCTTTACGTCTTAAAAGCACACTACAGCTGAAGCTCTTTTAAATAGTCTCAAATGCAGAATATATATACAAAACATCTCTGGGTATTTGACTGTCAACCCTTCACCAGTTGTAATGGCATTAAGTGTATTAAAGGTCTTAAGAATTTCTCTTATTAGCCCAAACAAGTTTAGACAGTGTATGTGTTGTGCTCAGTAGCTTATAATGCATCAGTGATATGAATCATGTAATTGTGAGACTGTTGTTTCCCTCAGGACACATGCTAACCACAAGACATTCTTTTTACAGGAGGAGAGCTGCATTCAACTCGGTTGTAACTGCAAATCATTAATGCATTTATCTATTGTTTTGTAGTTGCTGATCCCCTTCAGGCAGCTTGGTATTTTTAGAGTGGGCTGCATCACTTTCAAAATAGCTCAAGAAGATTGATAAGAAGGTACATTGATAAGAAAAACACTGCAGTAATTGCCTCCTGTCCGTTGCCTTTTCAAGTTCCCAATAATGAAGATTACTTCCTTCCTCAGACATCTTTTAAGTTCCAACAGACCAGTTATAATGTTATCCAAACAGTTCAGCCATCCATTTTTAGCGAGCTGTCTCTGTGTTTATCATCTGACGGGTCATACAGGTTTGTGTGACTTAGCCAGGTGCTGCTATGTGTTTCTGTGACTTTAACATAACTTTCATGGCCATGGACACTGTTTGTTTTGAAATCAGAAGGCAGAGGTAGCAACATGTACTGGGTGGGTCGGAAAGGTGTGGTTTTCTGTTTGTGGCATCTTCAGTGTGTCTGATATGAAGTGAACCGTGGACTGTCTAATTGATTGAGTTTAAATTCAAATTCTGTACAGTGTACATAGGCCTTTATGCATTTGTGATAGATGCAATTGGGACTATTTGACTAAGCTTCGAAAAAGCCATTCTAAAAACTTAAGCAAGGCATATATGTCCCTACAGCAGTACAAAAGCACTCTGTTGACTGATTCTAGGAGATGACAGTGGTTTTTTGTTCAGTATCACAGGGTCAGGGGTGACCGGGGGAAGGCTTGTGCTGAGGTTAGGGGTTGGTAAAGGATCTCTAAAGATGCAGAGATCTAAACCTTTCAAAAAAAAAAAAAAATGCTGTGCGCACACAGTATTTCTGTAAACTTTCTCAATGAACTTCTGAGTAGCTTCCTAGAGCCACACCATCTTTTATAATTTATTATAATCATTTTTCAAAAGGATTTGTGTGATGCTATTAGAGAAACATACTTTGGTGTTCCACGGTGAAAAGAAAAACAAGTTTGGAATGACAGGAACATGAGATTTTGAATGAATTTATACCTTAAGTATAAGCACCTTTTTAAAATGTATAAACATCAGATTTTTTTTATTTTTTTTCAATCCATGCATGTGGTATATTGTTGTGCATGCATGTTGTGTAAATATCTAAGCCAAGGGCTCATTCTGTCAGTAAGCACTTCCCATTTTGAGATCTGTTTCTTTAAGAGAAGTGGGAGGAGGAGTGTGGACAGGCTCTGGGTTTTGAACGCCTCTTTTTTTTTTAAACAGAACTTCCTCTCTCTCAAGAGTTTGGCATTTCCTCTGAGCTCACACACTGAGAGCCTGCTCTCCCGTTTCACACAGTACTCACTTGTGTCAAAAGGGGGGATTTTCAAACATCCTGAACGAGAGGACTTCTCTTGCCCTCGGCAGACGCTGCATCTGCAAAGAAACTTCACTTGGCAAACTTCCTCTTACACAACGGTTTCTGCTCGAGAGGACTAAAAGAACAGTTCGGACTTGTTTTCAGCATCTGGATTAGTGGCTAAGCATGGGCTAGTCCCACATTTTCCCACATAGCTGGAGTGGACTGGAGGAGGAGGATGAGCGTTTACACTCTCAACCTCAAGTTGTTCTGGCCGCTGGTCACTTGCATCTTCACCGCTTTGCTGCTACTGCACCAGTACATCATCAGAGGATCTGAGGACCATGGGAACGACTGCTCTGATCAGGGACCTGGAGCTGTTACACTCTTTAAGTACATCTTAGCATTTATCTTATGTTACTTCTTTATAAAGTACTGCTCAACTCAACCTGGCCCTGCTAGGGGGGCTTTCCACAAAGTCCCAGAGGGGCAGGGAAAATTGGGTGTCTCCAAGAGAGAGCTACTGGACGATCACTACGAGAGGCATGTGCGTCTCTCTCCACATGTGCTGGGCCACAGCAAAGCCCACGTTGCCAAGCTGGTGAGTGAACTTGTAAGGGTGGGTCGCACCAATGTCCCGCCGGAGTCTTCACTGGCCTTCCGGGGTGACTTCATCCAGATCGGCAGTTCCTATGAGGAGCACAAGGTGGGCTCACCTGACTGCTTCGACATCCTTGTGCCTCTGCGGGAACCTCGTGGGCTGAAACTGGAGGCCAGTGTTTGCACTGACAAACATGGAGGGCCACCGCTGTGCACGCTGAACACGCCTCGCAAGGCAGAGTGGGCACGTCGCCACAAGGCCTTCACGGACACGTTTATGCACTTGCACAATGCTCAAAGTGTCTATAGGATGAGCCCAGATTCCGTACAGCGCTGGTTTTACACAGCCACCCAGCGCTGCCTTGCTACTTTCCGTTACATGTTTGAGCAGCGCTGCTCCCTCAGCCTGTCTCTGAGTGAGGAGCAGCAAGTGCTCCTCCATCTGACACCCCGCTCTGATTATGTCTGCTGCCACATCTCAATGGGCGTTCGGCTGATCCCAGCCTTTCCTCTCAGTGATGGTGCCTTCTTGGTGGCATCCCGGCGGGGTCAGCGAGGAGAAGACCTTTGGACAGTGTACTTTCCCAGGCAAGAGCAGAAACTGTTAGCATGGCTGAAGGGTAGACTGCCCTCCAACTCCTGTCATCTGAAATGCCTTCAACTCCTAAAAGAGGTACGTAACCTCAGTGGGGAGACGCTGGACTTGAAGTTCGGAGCTGAATGGGGAGGAGTGCTTTCGTCCTATGCTCTGAAGACAGCTTGGCTTTGTCTGCTGCTCAGTACACCCCCTGAGGCCTGGGACGAGTGCAACCTTGTGGACCGGCTGGATGATCTTCTTCGCAGTCTAAGGGAGAGCCTACAGTCTCGTGCTCTTTGCCATTTACTCCTCGGAGGCGTTAATGGACTTCTGCCAGACTCTGTCGCTCTGCCCAAACTTGTGAAGGAGACGGTACCCTCCAACCTGTGGGCAGAATTTAGTGACATCACCCTCGATATGGTCTCCGCCCGACTGGCTTACTCGTGGAACCACCTCCCTCGCCTAATTCGCCTCGGGCGACCGCAGAGAACCAGCCTTGGCAGAGGTGTTCAATGCAAATATATTGATGCAGAGTAAAGGTCAACTATGATGTTGTTGAACACACATCGATAGCTTGCTACATCTTTTTCTTAAATTAATGTCACAAATCTTTATCTTTTTTTCATCTGACTTTTCAATATGAAGTTAAATTAAGTTTGAGATTTTTTTTTTTTTTCCTCAAAAGGTAGCAGTCAAAGCACTAGATTGGAGCACAATTTAGTAAGGTATATCAATACTTTTAACAAATCAGTCTTGGTACTGTCCAAATCAGTGTTGTACTGCAATTGCAGCACAAAATTTGAAAAGCAAGGTCTGCTGGAAGGTAGCCTTTCAAGAGCAGGGTTGGAGACGCCTGATTTAGGCATTAGCTTGGAAACTAAACTCATGTGTTTGAGAGCTGCTAGACTTGTGTTGACTCAGGTTGACCATGATGTCATGGTTATGGGGTAGTGAGCAGTCAACACAGCATAAACACCAAAGTTTTTCCACACCCACAGTATTAGTTATGCCAGCCTAAACAGATGAACTTCCTGTTTTGAAGGGAAGAACTGCAGTGTGACCACTGTAAAAATTTGTCTGCTGTTTACAGACCCAAATATATTCTTTATTTTGAATGAATGAATTAATTATTAATAATATCTCATAACAGTAGCAATTTCACTATTGCTTAATTAATTAATTAATTAATTAATTGTTAAAGCGTTCATTTGTTGTGTCAGATCATAATTAGTGCTTTAGTTCACCTCAGTTTATTACTTTAATTGGCACACTTGAGGATAAGGCAATGATGGCATAGCTTCACTTCATCTTGCCTGTCTACAGGGAGCCCAGCTTGTGTGTTGTGCACTTGATCTTTTCCCTCAGAGACATGGCTCTATAGGCTGTCACCATGGAGACATGCTACCTCAGCCCAGGGTCATTTACTTATGCATTTACTTTACGGCAGCAGAGATCCTTATTGATCTCTTGCTGGTACTGAGTATTACAGGGTTAGTTTCTTTAGGCTATTTCCTGCTCAAACTTCATCCATCTACCTGTTATTGAACAATGTGGTCATGTTCATTTATGTCAGACATACCTTAGTCTCATCAACTTTGCTGGGAAATGTTTGTGGTACCGAAACAAAACTTTTTGAAGCAGCTTCTTGTCTGTTGCCTAAAAGCGGAACAGAAAATAAAACAAGGAAATGAAAAAGGACATGCTCTAAAAACAATGGTTAAATGTAGTCTAAAACAAGCAATATAAAATAAAGATTAACTCATGTTGAATGTGTATATATACTAATGTATATGCAATTTAATGTATGTGGTACTGTATGTGAATGTAAGTTGATTTTAAAACAAATTGTACTTAATGTACATAGTGTAAAACAATTTGTGTGTGAGTGTTTATACACACATATATAAAGTGGATATAATTTATACATGTATTTTATTATTTGAATTTAAATAAATATATTTTGGACTGCACACAGTTTTGTTAAATATTTGTTGAATGTAAAAACTGAAAGAATTGTTTATTTTTTGGACAGTGAAAGAGAAAATAGGACATGGAGACAGAGAGAATTTCCCAATAGCAATTTATTATTATTATCACTATTTGCCATATATTTTTCTAAAAATAGGTTGTGAGATTTTCTCATTGAAATAAAATATACCAGATAAAGGTATACAATATATCTTAGAACTACAAAAAAAAGAGATTTATATATATATATATATGCATACATACATACATATATCTCTTTTTTGTGTAGTTCTAAGATTTATTGTGTACCTTTATCAGTTATATTTTATTTCAATGCGATGTTTAGATCACCTCTAAAGTGATTATTTTTCGACATATTTGTCACATGACACAGTGCAACGTGTTCTATTCAAAATATATATTTTCATAATTATGAAATGCAAACTGGTTTCCTTGCACACAGACACAGTCATGCTAATTATCATCTGTATAGTCTTGTTTGGCAGTGTTTATTATCAATAGAGTGTTATGTTTAGTGATGTGCTTCAATGTAAATTATACTGGTGCTCAAAGCTGGTGCTCTCTAACATTAGCACATCGCATCCTTTCTAATTATCATCTAATTTATGTAATTGCTTGCAGGATTTGGTTTGTTAGCAAAGTAGACCACAGCTATAAACTGAAGTCATGGAGTGATTAACATTGAATGCTGGAGCCACCTTGATTTCAGTATCTGTTTAGGGGACAAATAATTTAGGATTAAAGATTTTAATTAAAAACTGTAAATTCAGTTTTTAACAATCTCACATTATGCTCTGTATCTTTACAGTGTCTGGTTCTCTAATAATGATCTCTCAAATGATAATGTTGGTTTAGGTGGGTCGTATACGTTTACTCAAACATTCTCTTTAAACCCAGTCATTTCCTACAGCAGCTACAATTAAATGAGAATCATTTACTTTAAATCATGCTCAAACTGCTCAATTAAACTGGATGGGTGCCATTTACATTAATGCATTTAGAAGATTTTTTTCCCTCCCCAAAATGTGGGACATAAACAATTTGTGTTGAGTGCCATCAATATACCAGCATCTGTCAAACTCCAAAAATGACAGCGAAAAAAGCACAAAGTTCATGCAACATGCTTTCTGAAGCTAAAAACCTAAGAAGACAGCAGAGGTCACTGTAAGTCTGATTTTTATGAGACATGCCTTTCAACATGTTCTCAAGAGCAGAAAGAAATGAAGCGCCTAAATTCACACAATCTCTAAATCGCATCTATCTAATTCTATGCCATCCTTCCAACCATTATACATGTTTTACATCATCCTGTATTACACACAATGTGTTTTTTTCCCTAAAATCTTTTTTTCTTTTTTCTTTTTTTACCTGAAATTTGCTGCTTCTTTCTGAAGTCCGCCACCGCTCTCATTCTACGAGACAACGTCATGTTTCCTGAGCATCAGGGACCCCGACCCAAGATTACGTTGGACCCCGAGCCTTGAAAGCCTTCCTAGTCCTGTGAGTGAGTGAGTAAGTGTCCTGAAAGCATTGCAGTCATTGAGTCTGTTTTGAAACTTGAGTCTGTTTTGAAACACCTGCAAACAAATGCCGATTTTACAGCGACCCACTTTTCTGTCTGTTCTTCCTCAGGCTCTCGCTGAAGATGATTTAAATGTAGGATGTGTGCCCACAATAAAGTTTGCACCCTTGCACATAAGTACTGTCCTTCTATCTGTTCTCCCTCCGGCTTGTGCTGGAGGTGTTCCAAATGTAGGTTCTTTACCCACTATAAAGTATGCACCCCTGCACATAAGCAATGTTCACACAATATCATAAGCACAAAACAGCTGGGCGCCCAGATCCCTATCACAAAGCGGCCTGTCCCAAGACTTTATTCAACCCCTAGCTATGCTGGCCAAGACTTGGGAAGCCATCCCTGGTATATCAGAATGGGTGTTGAACATAATAAAACGAGGCTACTTGAGTTTGCTCACAGACTAGCTGAGGTCTAAACTTCAGTGAAAAGCAATGTAGCTCATGTCCTTCGTACCAAAGTGTTGAAACTGCTAACCAGTCTCTTTATCACAAACCGAGTGGGCTTTTACAGCCGCTACTTCTTCATCCCAAAGAAGGATGACGGCCTCAGGCCCATCTTAGTTCTCAGGCACCTGAACGCAGCGCTTATGACGCACATGCTCAGAATGCTGAAAACCACACAAATCCTTGCGCAGATTTGCCTAGGGGATTGGTTTTTCTCAGTGGATCTGAAAGGTGCTTATTTTAGCATTCAGATAACCCCCATCACAGGCCATTCTTGAGATACGCCTTCGAGGGACAAACTTAGCAGTACACACTCCTACTATTCTGTCTAACCCTAGCACCCCTGAGACAACAGGGAGTGTGAGTGCCGAACTACCTTAACAATTGGCTGGTTATAGCCCAATCGGAGGCACAGTTAATAACTCGTAGATCCTGGCTCCTCAGCTATCTAATGCCTAGGTCTCAGGATCAATGCTTCCATGAGCGTGCTGTTTCCTACTCAGAATATATCCTTCCTGGTAACAGTCATAGATTCTTTACAGATGAAAGCGCGGCTCACGTCAGAACACGCTCTCGCTCTCCAGCGCCTAGCGGGCATCGTTCAGAGCAGGCGACTGGTACCAGTCCGGCATCCATTTGAGTGTGATTTTTGAAAAAGAAAGTGATCTCGACAAATGCCTCCAACCGTTGGGTGGCCCTATACGAGGGTAGGCCCATCTCCGGCCTATGGTCGAGCTCGGAGAGGCGATTACACATAAACTGTCTAGAGATGAGAGCAGTCGCTCTATCGTTGAAAGCTTCCCTCCCATACCTAAAAGGTTGCCACGTCTTGATTCGAATGACGTAATCAACTCGGCGCAGTAATATCATCACTCGTGAAAAGTCCTCTCCCTTGTCGCATAGGATAGATAGCATATGCGACAAGTCGAAGTGCTCCCAAGCACTTGCTGTGGTATTCTGCCATACAATATAGTTATCCAATTTACACGCTTAGAAAAGCGTAACGTTTTATTTTGTGTCACCGTCCTAGGTCGAGTTGTAACTGTATTTAAATAGGGAAAACATGGAAGTGTTTGGTCGCTTCTCTGCTTGGCCCATATTGAATGAACTGGGCACTATCAAAGTGTCTCGCGCGCCAGAGCGATTGAGTGCACACACTGAGACGAGAGAGGTCTGTATCAACTCGTCTTAGTTAAGGGAATAACATAGTTTAATATGAAAAAACGGTGGAGTGTCCCTTTAAATTCTTTATAAAATAAACTCTGTTTTTCAAGTGCTGTAGATCAGTCAAATGCTCTCTGTGAAACTCTACACCCCATAACCTGACATGATGCTCAGAGTACATGCGTAGTTTCATCTGGTGAGCGAGGTCGTTCTGAGTCGGCAGCTGACGCAGCAACAGGTCGTGTGTCCCTACCGTTTTCAAGGAAACTTGCTTTAAAGTTCCTCGTGTTCAACCCGCTCAGGTTACAATACAGCACCAGGAATTACAATCATATACAGTACATCTTATAGGCTCTCCACAACAAGCACGTCTGCCTACCTCAGTCACTCAGTCAGAGCAGCAGGTGGCCGCACAGACCCCAGCTCTCATAAACTCCCTGTGTAACTAACGTGTTGCCGTGGCAGCAATTAGTCCGTTCACCTGCCGTCTGCCAGTCTCTCCTCAGACTCTCCCCCTGTTCGCGGTGAAGTGAACAACAAGTGGTTGCAGGCAGCCAGCGAGGTGTTGTAAAAACAGACTGGAAGAGGCGGGGAGGGATGCACATAAGAGATTTGATATACATCAATGCTTCTGCAAACCTGGATGAGTCACTGGTCTCTGAAAGAAACTCAGGGCAGGAGGGGGGAGGAGGGCGCTGCTCTCTCCGGGGAGAGGAGAGCTTGCTGTCTGTCGTGTCATTTCTGAGGACTAGGCACGACTAGAGACTGGAGAGGGAGGCAGGAAAGAGAGGGAGATTAGGTGTCTGAGTGGGTGGGATTGAAGATGATGGGGAGGAAGAGGAGATACAGAGAGATAGCTAGGGAAGAGGGGGTTTGTTTGTTGTTTTGTATTTGGCTCATCACTCTTGAAGTAGATTTTGTTAGCCTGGTTAGAGGAACCTAGTCCATAGAGACCTGAATTCATTACTCGAGTCACATCTACAGATTTTTCTCCCCTCTTCTCTCTCTCTCTCTCTCTCTCTCTCTCTCTCTCTCTCTCTCTCTCTCTCTCTCTCTCTCTCTCTCTCTCTCTCTCTCTCTCTCTCTCTCTCTCTCTCTCTCTCTCTTACTGAGTAAATCTGGATACAGAGAGTGTCATGTTGCTCTGGATGGAAAGTGAGACAGTGGGGCGAGAGTAAGAGGAGGATGGCGTACACACAGGTGAGTCCCAGTCACTACTTTCCCATCTGGATCCTTCTGTATTACACTTTTCATCTTCATATGTGTCGTCCTTTGCTCATTCGTTCATAATCCGATTTTTTCTTTATCTGACAATTATTTCTGCTCAAGGCCTAAAACCATTTCAGTTTCCTAAATGCATGATTTGTTTGTATTTATTCACTTTAATGTCTTATTGTTTATGAAATATTAGGATTTGATTAGTTAATTGTCTAGATATTTGTGGACATATTTTTGTATATGTCATATACAGTAAAAACTTAATGGCAATTGATTTATTTTGGATTTGGGATGTGTGTGATATTTTCATTTAAACCATATAGACCACAGACAGACTGATGTTTTTTGTTTTTTTTTGTGAATTAAGTATGAATGCAGCATCTTTTTGACGTCTAAACTGTGGCGGTGTATTTGTGTCTGTATGCTTTATTATGATTTATGGAACTGTGCTAAAGACCCCTCGTATGGGAATAGCTCTTGCTGGAACTGGCCATGTGGACCGGTGGGGATAGTGTCCCATCCCTCCTATCTCAGTGACCCTAATGCGTCATCTCTGCCTGAGCCGGCAGCTGGGTGGGACAGGAGTTCATATCACTGTTGCCATGGTTACAGCCACAGCTAATTGCTTAACATTGGGCCGCAGATGAGGAGCAAGAGAGTAGAAACGGGGTGGGGAACGGGAGAGAAATCAACCTGTAGATGTTCACAGGTGTTAGAAGGAAGGAATATAACTGTACTGTGTGTAAGCAGTCAGATAAAATGTTGTGTGTTTTAAACTCCTTACAAAGTCTGACCAATGGTGCTAGATATTTTTTTAAATACAAAATAATTTAAATGTGTCTTTTTTTGGATGCTTATCAAAATAAATTAGTGCAATAACACTTTAAACTAGGGTTAGTTCACCCAAAAATGAAAATTCTGTCAGTATTTACTCACCCTCATGTTGTTCCAACCCCGTAAGACCTTCGTTCATCTTCGCAACACAAATTAAGATATTTAAGATATTAAGATCGCTCCTGCATACAGTCCATAGGCTTCTTGAGGGACTGGCTCTTGCTGTCCCCGAAAAGTCATTAAAGACATCGTTAAAATAGTCCAAGTGACTACAGGGGCTCAATCTTAAGTTTATCAAACGACGAGAACAATTTTGTGCGCAAAAAACAACAAAAATAACGACTTTATTTCAACTATTGGTTTATTTCTCCCTCTGCGCGAGTCAGGTTACTAGTTTAATAGCGTAAGCTTCTGTTATTGTACGTCACACGCATCACACACACATGACCAGCGTCGGCCAATAGTGAGCCTACGTGTGACGTAGCTCTACGCAATCACACTACGTTAACTGACTACAGGCCCATGGAGAAGGAAGTGAATAGTTGAAATAAAGTCGTTATTTTTGTTGTTTTTTTGCGCACAAAAGTGTTCTCGTCGTTTGATAAACTTAAGATTGAGCCCCTGTAGTCACTTGGACTATTTTAACGATGTCTTTAATGACTTTTCGGGGACAGCAAGAGCCAGTCCCTCAAGAAGCCTATGGACTGTATGCAGGAGCGATCTTAATATCTTAAATATCTTAATTTGTGTTGCGAAGATGAACGAAGGTCTTACGGGGTTGGAACAACATGAGGGTGAGTAAATACTGACAGAATTTTCATTTTTGGGTGAACTAACCCTTTAAAGCAAAGATGGATTATTCCAGTGCTCTTAAATTAAAACTCATTATACAAAATAAGTAGGACAATATTTGAGGTTAAAGCAACTTTTTCCTTTTTCCAACGTTTCTCCTTTTTTAGTTTTCATTCAGACCAGCTCCTCAGGGAGCACACTTACCCAATATATATATATATATATACTACTGTTCATTGGGGTCTGTAAAACGTTTTAATGTTTTTGAAAGAACACTCTTACACTCACCAAGGCTGCGTTTATTAGATCAAAATACAGTAAAACATTAATATTGTGAATAATAACTCTTTCTTTCAAAATAACTTTCTTCTAATTGAATATAATTTAAATGTTATTTATTCCTGTGATGCAATGCTGAATTTTCAGCATCATTACTCCAGTCTTCAGTGTCACGTGATTCTTCAGAAATAATTCTGATTTGCTGCTCAAGAAAAAATGTCTTATTATTAAAGTCGAAAACAGTTGTGCCGCTTAATTTAAAAATAATTTTATGGAAAGTTTGATCATTTTTTTCAGGATTCTTTAATTAATTATTTTAAGCAATGTTATGTTGTTTACTGATAGTTTTGAGTCTATCATAGAAAACATGAACATGATAAAATATTATAATGTTATTAATTAAAAAAATAGGCAAAAGTTGCTAACAAATTTCATTAATATCAATTATTAAAATGTTTTTTGTTGTTGTTGTTGTTTTTTTGGAATATAAATAGTAAACATTCAATAAAGAGACCTGTCCTCTAACTGAACTCTTTTTTTCTCTATTTCCTGTGCATGAACTCAATTCTCTGCTGCACTCGATCTTTGAAAAAGAACAGTTGGAGCCTATCAATGAGGTATGTACAGGAAAGTAATTCATTCAACCTTCTAACTGCTCATATCTGTTCATTTACAATGATATAGAAACATGGCTACTGTATTTTTATAGCAACTAACCAAATTTAGTTTTACACCCTCTTGTTTAGCTTGACACCCTCAGACTTTTAAATTTTAAAAACAATTAAATACTTTGAAACATAAACTTACTTCCATTATATAAATAAAAAAGGATTGTGTTTACATGATCAGAATTGTATTTTGACCTTTTGTTTCTATCTTTTGGGCTGGATTTCATTTTTTTACAACATCCTGTCTTAAGTCATTCATTATTTAACCATCTAAATATTCAGCCTCAGCGGAGGTGAGAGTGACTTGGCTTTTTGGAGCGAGTAATCTTTATGATCTTGTTGTGTTTTCCTGTCTCATTGGAGTCAGCTAGTCTAAATCAAGCAAGTTTTGTTGTGAAAAGACTAACATCTCTTTCTTGAAGGACCTCTATCCAAACATCTGGTCTCAGTTCTGGTTAACCTAATAACAGTCACACTGAGAAGTGACTGAGTAATGTTTGTCCCACCCCAGTTTACTGGTTCAGTTTGAAGCATGTCACAAAAGGAAACAAAATTGTTTATTAAAATGTGTGTGTGTGTGTGTGTGTGTGTGTATGAAGAGTTTAGATGAAGAATTTTCTTCTAGAATGATCATTTTTATCAAGCTATATTTAAGTTCTGTAATTTCACTTAAATGACAATTATTGCCATTTAAGTGAAATTACTGAACTTAAATATACAAGCTTGATAAAAATTATCATTCTAGAAGAAATTTTCAAATGGCACTTAGAGGCTTTTGCATCTGAACTATATATATATATATACAGTCTACACACAGAGTGTGTATCTGTATGTTCAGCATCATTACTCCAGTCTTAAGTGTCACATGATCCTTCAGAAATCATTCTAATATGATGATTTGCTGTTCAAAAAACATTTCCTAATATTATCAGTGTTGAAAACAGTTGTTCTGCTTTATGTTTTTGGAAACTGTGATACATTTTTCAGGATTCTTTGATGAAAAGAAAGTTCAAAAGAACTGCATTTATTTGAAATATAAATATTTTATAACATTACAGATGTCCTTACTGTCACTTTGCCTTTATCCTTAAGTAAAAATGTAATTTAATTTCTTTCAAAATATATTTTGAATAGTAGTGTATGTACCTTTAATTAAATCAGAGATAATTTACTACAATGTCCCACTAGAATATAAGAGTCCCATAGAGATGTAAGAATTTATTTATCTGAGTCTCTTGTTACATTTATACTTCAAGCTGCAGTTGACCAAAAAGAAAATAACAAAGCAAAAACAAAAATTTGAAACACTGATAATTCATTGCCGTTCTATCATCATAATTTGCCTTGTAAGTATATTCTGCTACCTGTGCAGGTCAATCAGTTACTCTTTTTGTCTTTTTGGTCTTTCTTGTGTCCCTTTGCGGTCTTGATCTCAGGGTCTTCTGTCCAGACTGTCTGACTTGCTGTTGTGTCGCTGGTCGTGTCGCTCCTGTTGGCAGTGGTGCTGGGAGTGCAGCTGCTGTCAGTCCACTGATGAGGAGGTGGAGATTCTGGGGCCTTTTCCAGCTCAGACTCCATCTTGGCTGTGAGTACACACCCGTACACAAAATAAATAACCCAGAACATCATTCGTCTCATCTGTCTGCTCTCGCATCTTAAGAGTCATAGTCAGAATGAGACAAGATAATCACATCTGTTAATTTTGATGGTCATATTCTATCAACTTAATGCATCCTTGCTGAATAAAATTATTGATTTCTTTCAAACAAAACATATTACTGACCCAAAACCTTTGAATGGTAGTCTATAAACAGTGGTATGCTATTGTCTCATGACCTCAATATATTTTATATTTAATTCATGCATTTTTTCAGTACACGCTGAAAAAAAATAGTATGAATGTAATTGCGAAAGTACAAGTTTATGGCATCAAAGTTGTGATATTCTCTACTGAGTGTAAGCTTCTTATGTAGTTACAATATCTTTACTTCTCTACTTACATTGCAAATTACCTGCTTAATTTTAGCTACTGTTAACAGATCAGTAAATCATGTAGCTCTAGTTTGTAGTCATTGGTGTTCCGGGCTAATTGAAGTGATATTGATGCAACAGATGGCTTTCCTGAGACGTTGTAGGATCCTGTTTGTCAGTTCCCTGTTACTCAAGATCATAATGACTGGGGTGTGGAGCTATTTGTGTTCCCATGCAGGAACAGCAAGGGTAATATGATTTAAATGGAGAAGTGATTCATGTTTTTGCTGGGATAATTAGTTCTTTGAATGCACACATTCACCACAAGCTGGCAAGCCTTTTATAATCATCCTTTTTAATGACATCATTCAGTGACTTTTACCAGGACTAAACAAAGGTGGCCGTACATGTCCATTTTTCCATTTTGCAATATTTGCATTAGTATCATCAGTTTCCTGTTGTAAAACTTGGTCACCAGAGACTACTGGTTTATGTTGATCTGGCTGAGCTCGTGCTTTGTGGGAATTGGATGTTTGTGTAAAACCAAAAACGGGAACAAAATGGCTGGATAAGTAGCAAGACTTTTGACTGTGAGCTTCCAAAAAATGTGATCATAGAAGGGTTTTACATTCATAATACAAGGGATGCATCTTTAAGCTTGTTTCAGACTGTCATTGTACGGTCACTCATGACATATACCTCCCCCTAAAAGTCCAGCCTTTCTCGTTGCCTTGAATTGCTCCTAAGGCCATTTGTTTTAGAATCGTCCGTTGCTATGGCAACTATCTCCCTCTGAGCTGTAGTCATGGACACAAAGGGTCCTTGATGATCCCCAAGGGATGACTCGGAATCAGGCCTGGACAAAGATATCCCGCACAGAATATTTACCTCTATAGTTGGAAAACAACCAGATTAGACGACGATGTTACAGATATTACACAACACGGGGCGATAATATGAGTGTACATTTATTAAGAAGTGGATTCAGTCAGAGTGTCAGATTTTGCACAACAAATTGTAGAGCTGGATTGTAAGATGTTTTGCTAGTTCGCTAGTATGTTTCTATTCTTTTTTTTAAAACATATTATGATTTGTATGATTGGTCATATTTTAAGCTGTGTATGAACTGACATTCAAATAGTATAACTTAGCAAAATTTCTAAATGTGGTTTCTTTTCAGAAGTTGCCACCAGTTTAGCTTGAATGTGTGTGATAGGCTTGATGGGTAGAAAAACATCTGTAATCATGTTTCATGCAAAGTAATATTACCCCACATAATGTTTCATAAACATCATATAGCTTGACCCTAGTCCTTCTGCAACCGCTGATTGATCAAGAAAGCTTTGCTATAGTGGTAACACAACCTTTAGATAGTAACACTGTAAAAACTTACATCAATTAGTTATGACAACATATGTTTTTCGTTAATTTTACTCATCAAAATAAGTTAAACAATTTAGTTACCTTTAAAGTCAGTTAAATTGAAATTACTTAAACATCCAAATTGAATGTACTGAATTTAAGGCAGCTACTTTTTTACAGCAAGGTTATGGGTTTGATTTCTAGTTATTTTAAATTGTAATTATCTTTTACTTTCACAATGTTTTAATTATGTTTGGGTGAAATAAATGCTGCATTGGTGGGCATATGAGATTTTTTAAAAACATTAATAAATCTTACTAGCACCGAACTTTTGAACAGTTGTGTAAATGTCTTTTCAACAGGGAGAATATGCCAGTAGTGTCACTAAGCTTAACAAAGTCATCTCTTTCAGTGTCAATGAATGCAATGACGATAAAGGCACAAATTCTCACATCATGGCTCTCGACCATGCTTTACCTGCTCGATCTGACACCGCAACAAACTGCAGGCCGCCCACCTCAGAAACGTCCCGATCCCCCTTCAGCCAGGCTGGCCAGCTCTCCAGTGAGCCAAGACTTCACTCTCAATTTAAACAGATTAGCGTGAGTGTGTTTTACTTGAATTTTACTTAATAGCTCTCCCATATCACAGGTCTGAACCCCCGACGACCAAGCTCCCCCATGGTGGATGTAAAGCCGATTGAATTTTGGGCCATGGGACCCAGGAAGGAAGTGGTGCAGCCCCTGCGTAAGCCCCCGACACCACCAGATGACTACTTCCGCAAACTGGAGCCTCATCTGTACTCCCTGGACTCATGCAGTGATGATGTTGATTCTCTGACGGATGAAGAGATCTTGGCGCGATACCATCTAGGCATGCTGCACTTCAGCACACAGTATGATCTTATCAATAACCACCTTAGCGTGCGAGTCATCGAGGCCCGGGATCTGCCCCCTCCGGTAACGTGCGACGGTGCTCGCCAGGACATGGCCCACTCAAACCCCTACGTGAAGATGAGCCTGCTCCCCGACCACAAGAACTCCAGGCAGACTGGGGTTAAACGCAAGACCCAGAACCCCGTGTTTGAAGAGCGCTTCACTTTTGAGCTCCCCTTCCTGGAGGCCCAGAGACGCACCCTACTGCTCTCTTTAGTTGACTTTGACAAGTTTTCACGCCACTGTGTCATCGGAAAAGTGTCTCTTCCTCTTAGTGAGGTTGACCTAGTGAAGGGAGGACATTGGTGGAAGGCCCTGGTGCCCAGTTCTCAGGTAATACCGTTCGTTTATCTTTTTTTTTCTTTCATTTATTTTAGGTGTGCCGCTTGCACAATGACGTACATGATGAAGTGAGGTCACATAAAAGTAAATTAAGTTATTTCGAAAAATGTGAAATCATTGTAGCCATATGCCAAAGGGCCCTGCCTTAAAAGAATGCACACCACACCACCTACAAGATCTGTGTTTAGGATGTTAAACAAACATTGACCTTGTATTTTGAGAGGTTTAATATGCAGCTCAAAAAGATAAACTACCATTCAAATGTTTGTGGTCTGTAAGATTTTTTTTATTGCTTTTGAAAGTAATGCTCACCAAGGCTCCATTTATTTGATAATATATTGTGAAATATTACTACAATTTAAAATAACACTTTTCATACATGCATATATATATATATATATATATATATAGCCTATATATTAAAATGGAATTTGTTCCTGTGATTGCAAAGCTTAATTTTCAGGATCATTGCTCCAGTCTTCAGTGTCACATGATCCTTCTGAAGTAATTCTAATATGATGATTTTCTGCTCAATAAACATGTGAATAGTTCAGATGCAAAAGCCTCTAAATGCCATTTGAAATTTTCCTCTTTAATGATGATTTTTACCAAACTTGTATATTTAAGTTCAGTAATTTCACTTAAATGGCAATGATAATTACCTATTAATTGTTATTTAAGTGAAATTACTGAGAATTTAAGTGAAATTACTGAGAATATAAGTTTGATAAAAATCATCATTAAAGAAGAAAATTTCAAATGGCATTTAGAGGCTTTTGCATCTGAACTCTTCATGTATTATTATTATCAATGTTGAAAACAGTTGTGCTGCTTAATGTTCCATGAAACTGATACATTTATTCAGGATTGTTTGATGAACACAAAGTTAAATAGAAAAGCACTTATTTGAAATAGAAATCTTTTGTAACATTATAAAAGTCTTTACTGTCAGTTTTGCTCAAGTTAAGGCATTCTTGCTGAATAAAAGCATTAAATTCTTTAAAAGAAAAACATTTACACACCCTAATATTTTAAACGGTTCTGTATTTATCTCTGTTCCGATTGATATTAACTTGAAGCATTTGTTAAGAAATCTGAACAAACCAGCAACTTGTCTTGTTACAAATGCTTTTTATTTTAAAATGACTCTGACGTTAAAGCTTTCATTTCAGTTTTTGTCACATTTAAAAATGTAGTATAAGTACCGATACAAAGTGTTAATTTACTGACATCATTATCATGACACTGATTTCTTGAATGTGATGTTTCTCAGAATGAGGTTGAGCTTGGTGAGCTTCTTCTGTCCTTAAACTATCTGCCCAGTGCTGGCAGGTTAAATGTGGACATCATTCGAGCAAAGCAGCTGCTTCAGACTGACATGTGCCAAGGTTCAGGTAAATCTATTTCGTTGTGTTTTCCTCGTTCTGCTCTTTAAAATCTAAGGGAAATAGGAATAGTTATTTGTCAGGACAATAATGTTGTACTGACAAACTCTTAGTTGGTGTAGTTCACTTACACAAGAGTTCTAACTAAAAAAGAACTGTAGAGAGTACTTGATAATGGACTCTTGACTTAGTGTAGCTACTCATACTCCCGGAGTGCAATGGGGCATGAATAAATTAAGCAATTGCAAATAAAACTGTTAGTGTTACAATTAATAAATATTAAATAAAATGTATTATATAAACCCAATTAAAAGTTTGATAATTCACAGGGTGTTCATGGCAAAAGTGTCATAAATAAAGTTTTAGTTAGAAGTTAGGTCACCTTTTAAAAGCAACCTATTACTTCTCTTCCTTTAAAAGCACAAATAACTGTGATTTCGTGTTGCATCACTGCATCAATTGGAAGGAAATGACGTTCAAAGTGCCCAACCAAATGGAATAGTAATGGTGACTTCATACAAACCTATTTTAGGAAATCAACATCACTTTATGAAGAAAATGAGTGAATGCAACTAAGGAGAAAGATAGCAGCAGAAGTGGAAGAAAAGAGTGACAATTGTATTAGGAATGAAACCAATCAATTAATGACCAATTTAGTTTTCTGAGTAAGAAATTACTAGATTTTTACAATTAAGTTTAGGCATTAAGTAAAGTTAACTAAATAGTGTTAGTTAGAGCAACTCTTAGACTTTACAGTGTGGTCTTGCTCAATTTTGGCATGTCATGTCCACTTTCATAATCCAATCTTTTCCTGATGAATAGTCTTTTATCACTTAGTAATCTGTTTCACTCAGAAATGTTAAATGACAAAAGTGAAGTTTGTTTCAGAATGCAATTTACATCAACTTTAACAAAGTTACTTCTCTGTTATCAGATCCTTTTGTGAAGGTGCAGTTGGTGACCGGTCTTAAGTTGATGAAGACTAAGAAAACGTCCTGTATGAGAGGCACCATTGACCCCTGCTACAATGAGACCTTTAGCTTCCGTGTGCCTCAAGAGGACCTGTGTGAAGTCAGTCTTGTGTTCACAGGTATTGTTTTGAACATGCGCAATATGCAATATTGCAAACAGAAAAACATTCATTCAGATCTCTAAACAAACCTTTCTTGACCTTTCTAGCAAACACAATTTTTCATTTCTTTTTTAAGCTTATATTAAAGATTCAAGTGGTAGGAATATTTATCAAATGAATCTAATTGGCATGATTGTATGCATTATTTTGCAAAATAATGCATACAATCATGCCAATTAGATTATTATAAATTAATATTTTTTATAAATAACATATTTTTTATATATATATAAATTATATATTTTTTTTGGAATCAGTAAGGATTTATTAAATTAAATTTATACTTGTATTCAGAGATGACCCATTTGGTTGACTGTAAAGACATTTATAATGTTATAAAAGACAATTGTATCCGCAAAAATATTAAGCAGCACAAATGAGAAATGGTTCTTCTTGAGCAGCAGATCATCATATGATTTCTGAAGGATCATGTGACACTGAAGACTGGAGTAATGATGCTGAAAATTCAGCTTTGCAAACACAGGAATTAGTTTAGTTTTAAAAATGTATACTTAGAAAACATAATATATTTAATTTAATATATATATATATATATATATATATATTAGGGCTGTGCAAAAGTTAATTGCGATTAATCGCATCCAAAATAAAAGTCTGTATTTACATTATATATTTGTGTGTGCTGTATATAATTAATTTGTATATATAAATACCTGTGCATGCATGTATATATTTAAGAATTATTTGCGCTGAAATTCTGTATTTATAAATACATAATCTATATTATATAAATATAAATATTTTATATATGAATAACACATTTTCTTAAATATATGCATGCATGTGTGTGTATTTATATATACAAAATACATACAGCACACACAAATATATTATGTAAACACAGACTTTTATTTTGGATGCGATTAATCACAATTAATTTTTGCACAGCCCTAATATATATATATATATATTACTCTAAATGTATGTATTAAAGTCACTGTCCTATTCATAACAGTTGAAGCTATCTAGCTGGATACCTAATACAATAAAGGTGAATAGCCACATGTAGGACATGGCCATTTTTAACCTGGTGATATGTATGTTACAATTTCTCACAATTAGTGTAATCAAGCTTGTGACCAAGAGCTGCCTTGGAAAACCTCATTATGGTTTGCTTAAATTCAAATAGGATTTATTCAATTACCAATGCTGCCAGTCAGAACCTGACCTGTACCAAGTTGTTCATGCTGAGATTTTATGCACTGGTACACACTGACATTTAATATTTGCACTCATCACCCAGGTGCAGCCATGCACTGTGATTGCATAGGGCCGAGAGTGGCCTATGGTCTTAACCAGACATTTGAGACAGTAGAGAGCAGCAAGCCGAGTCCAACGTTTAGTTTTCACCTCAGTCTGCTGAGTCAACAGTGTTATTTAAATTTAAATACAGGAATATCTCACTCTAAAAGGTGAGTGCAGCCTGTGCCCCATCTAGGCTGGTCAGCATGTGTCTCTCTCAGTGGGACCAGCCAGGGCCGTCTGCCCACTGCTTCTCTCTGATGTTTCTGACTACAAAGACTTGCAATCAATCGCTGCCTGCAATAACACCCCTGCTGGGACTCTGTCTCTCACTCCTGGTCTGTTTGATGAATCTCTCTCTTCTCTTTAGCTCGCTTTTTTGCCAGTTCTTTTACTTTTATATCTTTGCATATCCTATTATCATTCTCTTTGTCTTTAACTGAAGGATCCCTCTGGCTGAGCGGGTAATAGGAGTTTAATGGTGGTGTTATGTCCATATGCTATCCATAAGCAGTGAATGGAAACAGATCTTCTGGCTCTGTTCAACATGACTCCCATTAGGCAGCTATGTGCAAGGGGGAAGGGTCAAAACTGTGCCCGTCATCTTAGGTGTAGTGCTTTCACTAGTTGTGTGAGATATTTGGATTGTCCTGTTTAGTACAAAATGTGTGTTAACTCAAATATTTTCAAGATTTGTTATCACAACATTTTTTCTTTTGTCAATTCAACTTAAATAATTTATTTTGTTGAGATAACTTATTATTTTGAGTTTCTGATGACTAAATTAATCTCCTTTATTGTATTAACTCACTTTTTCCAGTTCAATCAACTTAAAATTTTAAGGCAATCAGGTTATTTACTTTTTTAAGTTAAACCAACAATATTTTTTTACAGCAAGAGTATACTGAGGCAACAGCAAAATGCAGTACAAACGTCCAGTGTTTTAAAATAAATGAATAGGAGATTAGTTCAGTTACTGTTCTAATGATAAAATATGTATTTGTTTGTTTGTTTAATAATATTAAAATGTTAATTATTGATTGTATATTATTACATTGTATATATGTCATGGGATGCAGGGAGATGAACACAAATGCCGATAAAATGCAAAGAACGCGGTTTATTGGTACAAAAACAGGAAACCAAAACCCACAAGGGAGCAAAACTGACAATGGGAAACAAAACAAACTTCACTTGACAAGGAACGAGACAATAAATTAAAGTAAATACAAGACGCAAACTAACACAAGACTTTTTCTAGACGGGGAACTCACAGGTAGAATATATCATGCAATGTTTGACACAAAGTTAGACAATGAACTGACACATGACAGTAAACACAAGGGGATTAAATATAGGGAACACTAATGACAAGTACAGGTGAAGCTGACTAGACCATAACAAGGGGGCGGGGTTAGGTAAAGAGACAACACAAGCACATGGCCCAAACAGAAGGCCATGTGCTTGCACACAAAACACAGGTCTGTCATGATCCTGCCTCAAGACTAAAGAAGGTCAAGGACACTGGCAGAATCATGACATTATAGATTATTATATTACTGTTATTATTATTACAATATAATACAAACATCAGATAGTTTAGTTACCATTCTAATAATACAATATTGATTTATAAAAAAATTGTTTGTTAATATTAATAATAATATGAAATTTTGTTATTGTTATTAATTAATATTAGTTTAATACAAACATCCAGTTTTTTAAAATAAAATAATCAGATAGGTTAGTAAGCATTTGAATAATACAAATCTAGACTTATTAATAATAACAATACTGATACAAATAATAATAACATCATTCATTTTGTTTATTCACATGCTTGATCAAAATTGTATTTTTGTGTATTTTTCATAACAATAAATGTAAAATTTAAAGTTCACTGTTTACAACATTTATTCATTCATTTTTTTCAGAAATAATCTGTCGAGTGTCATCTTTTTTAAAAGGTCAAACTTAAAAGTGTGTTCTCCAAAGCATTAAAGATGTATTCATTTTCAGGTCCATGCTCAAAAAAAGGAATAATTGGATTATAACTACGGCATAAGTATAATTTAGTACCATAAAATTCCCCCAAAATACCAAATATTAAATAAAAAATATTATCGAACTGATATATAATACAATCATTTAGTTTAAAAAAATAAAAAAGGTCATTTTCGACTGCCACGCGAACAGTACCAGAGGGTTATTTAAAATAATGATAATGTTTATATTGGTTTATTGCTTTTATGTGTTGTTTTGAGCTGAATATTTCCCTCTTTACTTTTCAAAATTGCTTCCTTGATACACAGTTGTACCTTTGGAGTAGGAGATATTCCCTATATTTATTTAGTATTTCCCATTCAGAGCCAACAGGAATGATCTGTACCTCATCACAACCCAGAGTTGGAGAGCTCCCGCAGGACTGTTGAATTTGACATATGCTGATGATGTCAACAGCTCAACATAGCGAGTCCAGTGCATGCGTCTGCGGCAAACACTCACCACGCCTGTTCCTTTGCTTTAAACTGATGATGTCAGCCTTCCAAACAGCTTCATGTTTGTCTCCTAACTGACATATTTTGCAGAGCATGAAGACATGAATGTGTATTAAGTTACTCTTTTATTGAATTGAAGATTAATTTTGAAGTGTTTTTTCAAGGACTAGTCAGAAATTATCAAAAAAGTGGGAAAAAAAAATCTGAAAAAAAAAAAAAATCACCCCCATGTTGTTCCAAACACATTTGTTTGGAAAGATTTTGGATAACTTGCTGATTGCTCATTTTACATACAATAACAATGAATGGGGAGCTTTCAAATTCCAAAAAGGATGCAATAGCACACAATCTAATTACCATAAATCAACTTCTGCATTTTATTCAAAATCTTCTTAAAGGAGTTGTCAACTTATAAATGAAAATACTGTCATCAATTACTCACCCAAGTTGTTTCAAACCAGTATGAATTTCTTTCTTCTGCTGAAAACAAGATATTTTGAAGAATGTGGGTAACCACAGTTGATGAAAAAATATGGGGTTGACTTCCAAACATCAACTGTTTGGTTACAGACATTCTTCAAAACATCATCCTTTGTGTTCAGCTGAAGAAAGAAATTTATACTGGTTTGAAACAACTTGAGGGTGAGTAAATTGATGACAGAAATTTCATTTAAAAATGAACTACTCCTTTAAATATTGACTGAAATTCGTTTATTTATTCGTTTTAACTGATAATCTCCCCTTTTTATTGGGTGTTAACCATTGCAACTGGATCATTGAGTCTGGGAGATGAATTCAAGAAATAGATTCATGATCATTCAATCATTCATTCAGGAATTCACAATGGCTTTATGAACTGAATCAGCTGATTCATTGAAGATATTAGACTTACATTCTTTGGTTGGAATATAGCGCAAGAGTCATGTGAACTACTTAATATATATATATATTTTTTTACATTTTGATATTTTTCATAATTCACCATATATTCACATTTTGTTCCACCAAAGAGTGTCAGGTAATCTAATCGAAGGTTTTTTAACTCTCCACTTTAAATAGGACTGTCTTCCACCTTGAATTCAAATAGTGGTGAGGAGGAGTTGTTGAAATGCATATTATATTCGCTCCTGTAGGCTGTAATACGAACTATAGCTGTATACTTAAGCCACACCAAGGTGAAGGAGTCCTTGGCATTCAGTAAGCTCTTCTTAAGAGCTGCTGATGTTGCTTGGTGACGGTTTTACCATCTCTGGTCTGCAGCTGGAGTCGTGATGCTTTGAGATCCTTGTCTGAAGTGCGGCTGCATCCTTGACTGTCATCTCTGGGCTTTGTGACAATATTATTTGTGTTTCCTGCTATTTTCCCAGCACTCCGCTGCCAGTTACAGGAAAGAGGGGAAAATCAGCGGGAAAAAAAGTCTTCAATCTTGTTTATGAGCAACGTGATGAAATTAACAGTGTCTCATTCTCTGACCCAACTCCATTAACAAAATTGGATTGAGGCGGAGAAAAAGAGGTTGACAGAAAAGATGAATAATAAATAAATGAGAGGATACATTCGTGTCAGTGTTATTTTAGTATCATGTATACTGTATTATAGTTTTTTTTTTTAATTTTGACTTATGTTTTCTGTTTTCATTCTCATTTAAGTAAAGATTTTGTCATTTGACATTGTTTTTTAATATGTCTGTTTATTAAGTAATTTTAGTACTTCAACTTAAACTAAATGAAAATGAGAAATTTTGCTTCATGTTTTTTTTTTGTATTTTTTTTTTTTTTTTACATTTTATTTTATTTAAAGTAATGAAAATGTTTTTAATGGTAAAAACCCTGATATCTGTGTATAAAATCATGGATGGGAGGGAAATCTTAAAGGGATTATTCACCCAAAACTGACAATTCAGTCAACATTTATTCACTGTCATGTTGTTCCAAACCTGTACGAGTTTCTTTCTTCTGATGAACACAAAAGAAGATATTTTGAAGAATATTGCTAACCAGACAGTTGACGGCACCCATTGACCTCCATAGGGAGGAAAAAAATACTATGGCAGTCAATGGCTACCATCAACTGTCTGTCTTGATGGAGAGTAAATGATGACAGAATTTTTATTTTTGGGTGAGCTATCACTTTAATTCATTCGCAGTACAGAAACTCCAAGCAGCCATTATCACTAATAAGGTGTTAGTCTGATTATTTCCAAATGTAACATTGATTTGATGTCTATTCCTTTTTAGTCTATGGGCACAATATGAAGAGCAGCAACGATTTTGTCGGTCGCATCGTGATTGGCCAGTTCTCCACTGGCCCGCAGGAAACCACGCACTGGCGCCGGCTCATGAGCTCCCAGCGCACCCCCGTGGAACAGTGGCACAGCCTGCACTCCCGTGCCGAGTGTGACCGCGTCTCTCCTGCTTCTCTCGAGGTCACATAATAACACAGGAGAGTCAGTGATCTATGGAAAAGAACTTTGACTGTCTGGGAGTGTCTTGTGGTTTTATTGTGTTATTTTTAGGGGTGAATCTATTTGAATCTATTCTCTGTAGCAGTGATTGCCAACCCATGCTCCCAAAGGACCCCAACACTGCACATTTTCTTTGTTTCCTTAATCAAACACACCTGATTCAACTCATCAGCTCATTATCACATAGGGAAACGTGCAGTGTTGGGGGTCCTTCAGGAGCAGGGTTGGGAAACACTGCTCTATAGAATGGGGGGCTTTATCTTAGTGTTATTTGTGTTCACTCTCCCTTATCATTAATATTATGGGGAGACGTAGATTGTTGAAGAGACCTCAGAGAGTAGAAAAGACCTCGGAGAGTTTTTTTTTCCATTTATGATGATGAGCAGAAGCCTGCTGTCCATGTTTTCCTTTTATCACATTGATACTATCTTACACGGGAGCTGAATAATCTCATCATCTTCTGATCCTCAGCTGCATTCAGGCTGTGAGGCTCAGGCAGTTTGGACCGCACCTAAGCACTGGTAAGGTCTGCAGTGTCTTAATCATATTGTTTCTTTTCTTCAGACTTCAATATGATTACAGTTTTTGAGGTAGTTGAAAATCTGTGACCGCACCGGTTTGACTGCTTCAAATCTGATTTTACACCAAAGTTTGTGTTTCGTGAGCCGTATCACTGTCCTCCATGCACATTTTGACCTTTGATTGTGTGTGTAAATGTTCGTGGGTGTACGTTTGGTAAATGTTTGCACTTATGGCAGCTGAGATTTACAGAAACCTTAAGAGGCCACGCATTATTTCATTTATTTATTTTTGTCTTGTTTTTTCTTAATCTTGATTTAATGTTTTTGTGATATGAAGTTTTTTTTTTTTTTCCATGCGCTCACTATTTCTTATGTCATCTCTTAAACAATTCTATATCCATACACTTCCTTTCAAAGGTTTTTCTTTAAAAAAATATATGTTTTTTTTTAAAGAAATTAATAAGTTTATTCAGCAAGAATGCATTACAATCATTGAAAGGCATTTATAATCTTACAAAAGATTTCTATTTTAAATCAATGCCTCACGGTTTCCACGAAAATATAAAGCAGCACAACTGTTTTCAACATTGATAATAATCAGAAATGTTTATTGAGCATCATATTCGAATGATTTCTGAAGGATCATGTGAGTAATCATGAGGATTAATAATGCTCACAAATCAGCTTTTACATCACAGGAATAAAATAAAACTGTTTACTGTAATTTTAACACAGTCTCATCCCAAAAAGTCATATAACTGACGTTTTGGGACGTATTTTGACCATACGTCAATATCCGCCTTTTTAGGGCCCCCTTAAACGTCGGTAGATGGCGATCCCGGGCCGTCATACAACTGACGCTTTACCTTTAACGTCAGTTAGGTGACGGGTTAGGTTTAGGGTTAGGTTTAGGTATGGGGTAGAGTTAGGATCCCATAACCTCATCTACCGACGTTTAAGGGGGCCCTAAAAAGGCGAATATTGACGTATGGTCAAAAGACGTCCCAAAACGTCAGTTATATGACGTCTTGGGATGAGACCGGGTTGGTAATTTCTAATCAATAAATGCAGCCTTTGTGAGCATTCAATACTATAAAAATAAAAAAGAAATCTTTCCGGCCCCCAACTTTTGAAAAAACAACTTTTCTTATTTTTATTTCGAGATCATAAGAAAATTAAGTCAAAACACTGCCAACAAAAGAGAGAAGTAATCATTTATGGCCTCTCAGGGCTTCCATAGAGGTCTGTATCACTGTGTAAATGCATTAGTGTTAGTGTCTGCACAAACAGTGAACATGTCTTCACAGCTTGGGCAATATAATGCCATGCCAAGAAGGTGCAGATACATGCATTTCCCTTCACTTTATTACCATCACTCCTATTCCAACGATTTGAGTTCATATATATATATATATATATATATATATATATATTATCAACATGTTGGAGCTGTATTTTGTCTTTTTCTCAGTCAATCTATGAAGTTCATAAGCATATAACAAGATATGATTGGGAAAACAATGTTATCATAGAATCAAAGTGCAATCAGAAACTTAACTGTATCTTTCGTTGTAATCTTGTGTGTGACCTGTGCAAGATTAGTGCCTGTTTCAGGTCAAGAGTCAATGTCAATGTTTGTGTAGATGACAGTACAAATGATTAGAGGTAATAATAATGAAGCTGTGCCAGAAAAGATGTTTATATTTATTTAGATAAAATTTAGATTTATAACTTACAGAGAATTGAACAAATGCATGTCACAATAGATGAAAAAAAGAAATGGATAGAATATAGATAAATCATGATAAATGAAAAGGTTATTGAAATGACTTCACTGACAAAGATTTTGGTGTCAAAGGGAACTGTTTTTAACTGTCTCCATTTTAAACAAAACAAAACAAAAAAAGGTTTAGTCCGCTGTCTCCTTGTCTGATCTGAACCCTCTGAGGGTTTGTTACGCTGATGCTGTCCATGTAATGGTTTATTAAGCGTGAGAAGAAATCAGCAGAATCCCTTTAAAGGTCTCTTTCATGGAGATTGTATTGTGTGAATCCTTCAGAGAGATGTATTAAGTGTGGAAAGTGTATTTTGGTTGTTCCACAATGCATTAAAGTGATGTTTGTACTGGGCTTCTACCTTCTTTCAGTATGTTTTGTAATATAGATTTTTTATAGACCCTGACACTAATTAAACCACAAAAAAAATGATTCATTCTTGTTTGTGTAAAAATGTTCCCTCTGCATGTTTTAAGAGGGAGATAATTACTGTTGAGGGCTAGAAGAGGGTCACTTAATTATTAGTCTTCAGCAACAAGGGAACAGCTTAACCCCACTGGCACTGCACATGAGTCCTGGGTCTGTGTCAGGCACAAAATGATGAAAAATACCATGATTACAGACGAAATCATATCAACAAACTTATTGCTCTTGACATAAATTAGATACTTCTGCATTGTGTCATCTATTACAAAACAGCAATTAAAGGCCCCCAGCTGAGGGAGTTTTCACCTGACAACTTTAAAATATATTTCTAATAGATTTACATTCACATTTAATGAATTTTATGATGTTGAAAGAAGAATACTTTATTTCCCCGGATTTACCCTAATTTCAGTATAACTTTTCTATCTGTGGTGGTCCTATGGCAGAGTTAAAATGAGTTTTAATGGCTGTCAGTCACAACGAATGTACGGAGCCCCGGCCTAAACGGACAAGAAGAATTGTATGGTACACTGTAAAAAAATATTTTCATGATTTGTAATCACAACATTTTTTCTTTTGTCAAATCAACTTAAATTATGTCGTTCATATAACATAATATTTCGAGTTTCTGATGATTAAATCAATCTCCATTGTATTAACTCAATTTTTCCATTTCGATGAACTTAAAATTTTAAGGCAACCAGGTTGCTTCATTTTTTTTAAGTTAAACCAACAATATTTTTATACAGTGTAATGCTTTTGCGTTCTTTCACAAATGTTTTGCGTTCTCCCAAAATACTATTTGTTTGCTTGCAAAATGTTTTGCATTCCCCGAGGAATTTTTCCTCCCGTCTCATGTATCACCATAGTCTTTAGTGGCTTTAGAATGTGTTTTTGTGTTTAAAACCACAAGACTCATGGCAATGGAGATGCATTTTTTAGATGTTGTACTACTTTTTTTAACTTAACTTTAACTTAACTCTTTTAGAACACACCTTTAGTGGCAAGCGCAAGACACTGCAAAACACGCGAGTGCAATGGTCAATGATGTCCATTTTGCAAATGTTTACATAAAAAATGATGTAAAATTAGTGAAAATTGTGTAAGTATTTATTTCATCACCAAACTCTGTTGAATTTCTTTGAATTGTCATGTAAAACCTCTATTTCATTCTAATTCAAATTTAAAATTTAAATCGGCTCATGACTCAAAAAGTGAAAATACAAATCAGCTCATTTAAATTCTGACGTTTGCTCTTCTCTGTCTGTGGCAAACATTTAGATGCGCAAGGTTGTTTTACCAACAGCTGCATGGACAAGAACAGGGATTTTTTTTTTTTTTTTTTGGTCACTAATTGGAGAGAAAAGCAGAAAAGGTCATCAGCCTGGCTAAGGTTAAGCTCTTTCTGTCGTTTGAAGCTTTGCAGTCAACAGAGACTTAAATCCCCTCTCTTTCAGAATCTCACCTTCTAGGTCAGTGATAGATAAATGTGCAAGGCTGGACATTATGGCAGCATTTACTGGATGCCAGATCCAGTCTCAGGAGTCAAGCAGTGGACACACATTAAAAATAAGACCATCCTCTTACAAAAATTACAGAAAGTTTTCTGCAAATATACCCTATTTGTCCTATAGCCTATAACACTAATACTGCAGCTTACTATCTCTGTGGAGACCAAACAGGTCTTAAGATAATTCCCAACAACATCACCACGTCAATATTAATATAAGCAACAGCTCCTGGTGAGAAAAGAAAAGGTTCATTCCCAAAAGTGTTGAACTGAGGAATGTGAACATCTTGATTCATGGCCCCCGAGGAACAAGAAAACAGCAACAGTGATGGAGGGATGATGGGGGCAGGGAACTGGAGGGAAGGGAGAAAAAAGCATTTGAAGTGCCTATAACAGGCTAGAGAGAGACCATCATCACTGCAGGAATGCCAACGAGCTGACATCTTGTTGCTACACTGTGATCGAGGGATGTTGGGATGTCATTGTTGATGATGAATGATGATAAAGAACTGGAGAACAATCTTAGACCTGAGCTTAGCTTTCCAGTGTCGGAATCTTACAGACGAATGGAAAGGCCTTATCACAGTTGTTGTCATTCCAAGACCTCAGAGCTGCAAAAGATGGAAAGATGCAAACAGTTTCTCCATTTTGAAATGCCTTTTAATTTTACATAATTAGTGGGGCTGTCAATCAACTTATGAAAAAAAACTGAATGATTTATAACATTCACCAAACTAATATATATGAAAATATACACTACTGTTCCAATATGGTCAGTAAGATTTTTCTATTCATCAAAGAATCCTGAAAGAAATCATGTATCATGGTTTCCACAAAAAAAAGAAATGTCAACAGATTAAATGTTTCTTGAACAGCAAATCAGCATATTAAAATGATTTCAGAAGAATCAAGATGTTGATGCTGAAAATTCAACTTTGCCAAAATTACATTTAGAAATATATTCAAATAGAAAAAAGTTATTTAAGTTGTAATAATAATTCACAATGTTATTATTTTTTGTGTATTTTTTGTTATAATTTATTGCATAAACGCAGCCCTGATTAGCAAAAGAGATGTGTATACACTGCAAAAAAAATATATTGTTGGTTTAACTTAAAAAATTAAGTAACCTGGTTGCCTTTAAATTTTAAGTTCATGGAAATGGAAAATTGAGATAATAAAATGATTTAATCATCAGAAACTCAAAATATTAGGTTATATGAACTATATAAAAGATTTAAGTTGATTTGACAAAAGAAAAAATGTTGTGATTACAAATAATGAAAATATTTTTTACAGTGTATTAATTGCACTAAATTAACTAAATTATTCACTGTTGTATAAAAAATAGCCATAATAATAAGTGCTTCAGTCGATTGCAACACTCACCACTGTTTTGTCTGTACCAGATCTCCACACAGTCCTCCTCCTCAGGGATGCGATGGATGCCATCATCTGGCTGATTTCCATCCCAGTAATTGTATTCATATGGTGACCCATCTGTCCATTCCATAGTGCCCTCCTACCAACAAACTATGATTAACAACGCTATCACGTTTGCTTGTTCCTTGCCCTTTGACCCTGAAGTGATGATTGAAGTCATCATGCCAGGCATGAGTTCACAGATTGAGCTTTGCATCATTTGATCCAGGATCTCTGAGAACCTTTGCTTTACCAATCAGAGGGTTTGTTACATCATCCATAAACTGTCTACCTCATCTTGGTGTTAGACCAAAATGTTGGTTCACCAGTGTCTGGAAATGATTAAACGTCACTCAGAGAAACTACATTTTCCGTAAATGAGATTATTAGTGACAGGCTGGACTTGCCTTTTACAACACATAAGTCATGTAGCTGTTAGTGTTTTTCATGCTTAACTAAGAACTGTTTTGCATTGCAACCTAGTAAAAAAAAACATCAATGAATCATTCAATTTTTCATTGAATTTTATCATGTTTACCTGTCTTCTGTCATGAAGGCCAATCCAAATATCTGTTGGAATTCCTGGTACACGGCTGTTCACAAGATCATAGACAAACACATTTTCTTCCCAGCTATGAAAAAAGTCATTAGAAAGTCAGATTTTCAAGCAAAAATCCTGTGCTCTAAAACAAATCATGGCATCTCTGCAGTAAGGTGTCGGTAAGGAATCATACCTGTGGATGGAGGTGAGTTTGGCTGATTTGTGTCCGTTTGAGAATTCAGCGCAGTACAGATCTGCCTCGGCCCAGGTGCGGTTCAAGGGGAAGAAGCGGTAACAGTAACCCTCAAATTCAGTCCAGAAGAGCGGACATGTCACATGCTGGTTTGAGTCTGTCAGTTGCAGGGGCAGTGCTAGAGGAAATAGTATGACATTAAATCCTTTTGCAGTGTTTTTCCGATTTAAATCAGCAGTTCGGTGCATGAACGTTTAATAGGTCAAAACACCGTTACGTTATTTGAAACATCATCTGGAAAGTATCTGGTTACAAAATATATTATCATTGTTTCCTTTTCACAGCAACAGCCTGCATTTCATTTAGTTTGAGCTGCGCAAGAATTAAAGAAACATGAAAACGTTGATTATTACACAATTTAAATATTACATTACAATGATTGTCAGCTTAATGTCAGAACAAGCTTCCTAAATAAATAACTGATCAACTTATTCCAATGTTAATGCATTTGTGGATACGGAAAGCACTTTACAATAAGGTCCTATTAGTTAATGCATTAACTAACATTGAGCAATACATCTGTTACACAGCATGGACTAATCTTTGTAAATGTTAGTAGAAATAGCTACAACTGTCATTGTAAGTTCATGTATAGCTCAGGTCCATTAAATCATTTTAACAATTATAACGTTGGATTTTAATAATCTAGTTAATGTTGAAATTAACATTAACTAAGATTAATACATAGTATTTTTCTAATGTATTTTCTGGCAATATTTTTCACGAAAACACGAAAAAGTCCTTAAATATGCTTTCACTGTTAGTCCAAGCTCTTTTAAATCAATAAAACATTTCAAGCTTTTTCTGTATACTGTCACATTCGTTCAATGGAACAACTGACTGTAAAATAGAGGTGAAAACTACATTACAAACAGATGCATCTATAACTTGGCAAAACAGCCCTGGTTTAGCTTGAGACTGTCTATTCCCTATATTTAAAGAAACTAATTAAAGCATATTATCTGCGTCTGCGTTGTATCCTTGTCTTTGATTCTGGTGGCACTCACCTTGTGTGATCTTGATGTTAGTTGAAGGCAGAGCCCACGCTGGGAAGCCGGTGAACAGTAGGGCTAAACTCAATTCCCAACAGAGCATTTTTAGTGCAAGAGAGATGAAACTGAGATTTGAAGTGTGTGTGTGTGTGTGTTTGTGGGCATGTGTGCTGCAGAACTGTGTGGAGTTTTGGGGAGATTAGGGTGTGTGAACCTCTCTAAGCCCCTGCCTTTTTTTTTTGGACTCTTCCTTCTTGGTCAAGTCCAGAACACTGACATCAGACTGTGTAAAGGGAGGAAGAGAGAAGCCTGAAATTGTAATTTTGGGTCATCATTAACCCAATGTAATTCTCCCTGGGTTTTCAAATGTTTGGGTTCAGTATTTTGTTTTTAGAGTACTTGTATTCAGCAAGGGCATTCAATTAATCAAAAGTATTTATAATGTTACAAAATCTATTTCAAAGAAATTCCTCAAAGAATTCTGGAAAGAAAAAATGTATCACAGATTCCACAAAAATTTTATAATAATAATAATAATAATAATAAATATTTATTGAGCAGTAAATCAGCATATTAGAATGATTTCTGACAGTATAAATTATTTTCACATAAAGAGATATCAATATTATTAATCAATATCAAGCAATATTATTTTTATTGGTGAAATTCTGTCAATATAAAGTCTGTTAAAGGATTATGAATTGCTATGAACTTGTTCATTTACAAGTTGTACGCCGTTTTACATAACCAGATCATAACCTGCATCTAATTAGCACTGTTGCAGAAACATTAAACACAAATGACCTGTGATTCCTTCTTGATTCTTTAACTTGTGAAATTCAATCCACAAACACCATTATAGCATGAATGGGAGAAGATGATGTAAGAGTGTCTACACAGCAACCTGGAGTGAGTAAAGATGAATGGCCCTTCAGAAAATGTTTGGCCCTAGAATAAAGCAAGAAAATAGCCTATATCCAACGGTTGGTTAACCTTAAAATCCACGGAAACATTTTACACTGTAATAGTTTGTTGAAAGTATTATGATGTCCAGCTTGTCTGCAGATCTATTGAGCACCCACTTTACACTGCTTGCTTAGTTCCATTAGTGTCCCCTGACACCGTCTTGCGGTTGATAGCATGTCTGCTTTATCTCAGGGCCTACAGAGCACATGCTATTAAAGGCCCAGAATTCCTCTTATCTTCGTGAGGGCTGCCACCTATAACAGCTAAGGGCAGGGGTCATGGAGATATGACTCATTCTTATACTGAAGAAGACCTCCGTTTAAGACTTTCAGATGGGATTGCTGCTAAATATGCCCCATAAATGAGTCCCTCTTGTTGGTGGAGCTTTCAGCATCATACGACCTACTTCACTGTAAACACTGGCAATACATTGATCAGGGTTCTTCATAATCACACTAAATGTATGCCCTGGAATCTGGATCACCATTCAACCAAGCCAACAATAAAAAATAGTTTTGGGCGGCGTACCCATGATCTTTTTGAGGAAGATGAACTAAGTTGTGTGTGTGCAAGCTAAAAATATCCCCTTTGAGTCTGGTATTGATTTTGAGTCAGTTCATAGCCAGTTGATGTGCAGACATGAGATAAAACATATCATCCCTTGTTTTATTGGCAGAATTCACAACAAAAATGTTCTTATAGACTAGCCTATGCATTTTACACTGAATAAGGATGATTCTTTTCAGGAGAACGTTTCCGATTTCATTTTGCAGCAGGCTCTAACATTGCTTGTAATCCCTCAGGTGTAGTGCAGAAGGTATAGTGCACATTAGATAAGCAACAGCTGTGACATTCAGCACTTTCTGTTGCGGCACAATCGAACAGCTGCACATATTGTTAATTATGAGAGCTTTCTGACCTCAAATGTGCAATTCCCATTCTGTAGTGCTTAGAGATAGAGACAAAATACAAAAGCATGACCAGTAATGAGTTGCAGTATAGTTATAGTCTTAATTAATAGCTGTAGTTAACTCAAAGGGTACAATAACACACTGTGAGCCAGATAATCTCCAAAAGTTACCAGCTGTCATCCCCGTGTACTGACACAGTGTTTATTGTCCACATTGTTGCTTAGCAACTTCAATCCATGCACTGAGCTGGGCACTGGTGCTACAAAACCTATCACAGCAATGCTCTGTGCGAGAACAGGCAGCTCTCAGTGGACCATCTCTTTCTAATTACTGGAACAAGTGCAATGGTTTGAGTGTTACTGGATTTCACTGCAAGACGTGAGAGAAAAGTAGAAGAGAAAAAAAAAATTGGGCTGATGAATTTTGCTCTAGCTCCTTGCTACCATCTTGTGGTATAATTATGCAACCTGTGTGTGGTGAATGGATATGGACCTAACACAGTTTGATCTTGAATAATAGCTATACAGCTCACATATATGCTTCTTATTAATATGTTAATATTGTGTAATAGTTTCTCTTTGTTTAAGATTAAAGTCCCATCTGTTGCCATAAGCTGTAAACTATTTGTTCACAAAATCTATAGTACAGAAGGCATTTCATGCTGTAGGCCTACACGACAAAAACTTGAACTCAGGAGAACTGGAGAAACTCTGTTATGAGGATAACTACCAAGAACAATGCACCAACAAAATGTTAAAATTATGACACAATTTATTTATTTATTTATTTTTTTGGATGAGCTATCACTTTAAAGGGATAGTTTACTTTGAAATTAATGTTTGGTATGTTTTAGCTTACCTCAAGGGCATTCAAGATATAGGTGTATTTGTTTCCACAGTGGTGGCTCTTGCTCTTTGTGGTGGACCCCATATACCTGCATTATATGACTGACAGACAAGAACGGTTTGACCTAAAAATATCAAAATTGAAATTACTGTGGAAACAAAGACACATACATCTTGGATGCCCTTGGTGTAGGCTAAAGCTTATCAAAAATTCATTTCAAAGTGAACTATCCCTTTAAATAGGACAGGGGATACAACCTGAACCTTTATGATGAATGGAAAACTTTTACAAGATGCGTTTCAGAACAACAATTCTGGTTTGCATTGTTTTCTTCTTCTGTTTGACGCATTCTTCTTTCTTTTCCCCTCCATTTCATACACATCCTGTTGTCACTAGGCAACTACAGTAAATTTGGCTACTACACCAACAGATGTTGCTATTTTCTGCTTCAAATGAAAAGGTGGAATATCACATTTTAATTAATTACTTTTTTGCTTAGCCTACACTTTCCACACGTTTATTTAAAGCTACAAGTGAACAAAACCCCCTGGAGTTATTTTAAGTAAGTCTGTGTTTCTGCTATTGTTTGTCTATAATTATAAATGTGGCTCTGTATCGTCCATGCTCTGTATCCGTAACGTTACTATAACAATAGAGCTGCAGTTATTCCTATACACCGATAGATGGAGCTGCCGCCGTGTGAACACTACAGCGGTAAAGGAAAGTGTAGAGAAATAGATGGGAGGGTCAGGCCGCTGCCTCTCAGTTTCAAACACGCTCAATGCATTTCAAACCTATGCATGGACATAAAGTGAAGGGTGAAATCAGGATTTGTTTGCGGACTCTTCCCGTGTTAGACGGGTCATGCTGTCTTCGGAAAGGTAATGAGCCGCAAAGCCCTCGGGTCTCGGCTGAGCAGCGCCCACAAACTGCAGCGAAACTGGAATGACTGGCAGCCCAGGTCAGTAGCACACCACACGGCCGAGCGCTCGCACTACAGCCCGAAGCTTCAGCTAGGCCTTGCTTTCGTTCGCCCCTTTATCAAACACAGTAGCCTCTCTCCCCACGTGAGGGGAGTTTTCTAAGCATTCATCTCACTTCACATCTCATGATACTATCGTTTAGCTCTAGTCTGTGGGGGAAAACAACGCCTCACAGCTAAACCGTTAAATGTCAAACGCTCATGCTCGAATTTTCAGGTTGGTTAGCAGATGTTAGCATAAGCTAACTCACAAACAATCGGTGAACACTGGCGATATGTATCATGTTAGTGTTTGTTTGCCAGCATTGGTTTGTAGACGGAGCATAAATGTGATTATAACGGCGGGGATTTGTGTTTTCGATGGACAAGCTGATGTTCCCAGAGTGTCGTGGCTTTCATTTGTGGTTCGTGTGAGGAAACACGCGTCTTGTCTGACACGTTTGTATAGCCACACGCTATATGACGGTGGTATTTGTTCAATTAAGTTACCAAGTAACGTGAGATTAATGTTGTAGGAGGTATATTGGTATAAATATGGGATCATTTTCGTCTCGTACGTTACTTGTTTACCGCCTTTTCAACTCCTCGTGCCACTTTACTAACCTTTTGTTTTTTTTATATCCCTGACTGTGACTGTGCAGCTGATTTCAAGTGTATAACCTTGAAGGTTTACATTAAACTGTTTTAAGTTGGATATTTGCTTATTTTAAATCCGTCAATCCGACTGAAGTGTGGACTCAATTCTGTGTAACGTTACCTTACCCTTTGTAAATCTGGAAAGCTAATGAATTGGCAGTGAGTGTATTGAACTTTGAGCTTAAACTGGTTAATTGTTTTAGTTCAGTCTTCAGCTTGTCTTAAATTAAAATAGTCAGTGTCCAGTCACGATATGAACATTTAAAAACACGAGTTGGTGTATTTAATTTGAAACTTCATTCACAGTTTGTTGTAGTTGTTTTGCATCAACCATGTGGAAAAATGAAATCTCAACTGAACTGTTAAATGACAAATTGTCTTGACCACAAGTCCTGGATGCAGATGCAATTTTATGAATAGTATGGAAGATTTATTAATTTTGCTTTGTGTCTTTATCAAATGGGTGGTTCAAATTGTGAGTACTGTTGCTAAATTGCCTTACTTCTTGCCATAGTAAAAAGGTTTCGTTTTTCATTAAGTTACGTGTTTGGCAGCTGCTGCAAATAGTCAACATTACATTTTTATAAAATGTTAAAATCATATTGTTAGTAAATTTATATTGATTATTAAAGGAATTGTTCACCCAAAAAGGAAGGTTCAGTCATCTGCTCATTCACTTCCATGGACGTGTTTGAAACTTGCATGATCATCTTTCTTCAATCTTCATTGGAACACAAATTATGATTATTTCTTTTGTTTCAGCCACACCACAGTGATAGCCCCAAATGTAATTTCATTCAAGTTCCAAAATGGGAGGGAAAAATGTTAATTAATTATCAAATAATTATTTTTATTGATCTTTTCAGTGGATCATTACTGATCTTGTTAGCTAAACCTAAATGA